TAGAGGATGATTAAAGGTTAACTTGGATTCATTTTGCTAGAAATATCGTGTGATATGGAGTTTGAACATGTGAGTAAAGGGCACTGATGAGATAGAACCTTGAAACAGCATCAGCTGGAAAGACAGATCATGCTGGAGCTTCATCAGCACCTGTGATGTACAGTTCTGCTTTGTGGGCTGGCTTGGAGGTGTCAAATCATGAATATTGTGGCATCATGTGAATTCCCATGTAGGCTTCAGGTAGAGGCACAGAATTTTGGAGAGGAGGGGTTTCTGGTGGCCATTTTCATCTGCAAAACCTGCATGGGGAGGCCAAGGAGTCATGACTCCCTGTATGCAAAAGAGGGGAGTGGGAGGCACACAGGGCAGGGAGCAAAGACATCAGTCTCCAGAAAGGTAGGTTAGATAGAGACAGAGATGTCTGAAGCAGACTCCAGGCAGGAGGATCTGCAGTAAAATTTAAGGCAGCCTTATCTCAAGGCAGGCAGATCTGCCTGCAGGCTAGGTCTCTCTTTTATGCTTGGCCAAGCTCCTAGGGTGAAGTTCGAGTTACTGCTTCACTTTGCAAGGACCTGTTGGTCCCCAGCCCTGTGGGAGCTTCTGAGCAAACACAAAGGCTGTGGAAGAATGCTGAAGGCTCTCTTCTGCCCAAAGAATTTATGTATACTGAATACAGAGGGTTCTTCTCCACCTCATCTTTTGTCCATTTATCATACAGAAATAGTAAGTGATACCAGGCTTTTCTTTTTTTAATTTATTTTTTATTTTTTTGTAATGCAACCCATGGTTACAAACTGCTATTTCAGTTTTATCTTATTTTAGTTCTATTTCAACATTACAGATACTTCAAGAGAAGCCCACACTTGCAGAGGTAAACTACAACAACAAAATCTCATGTGCCTATAAAGAGTGCTCTAAAACCAGAGTGCATTACAAGCCAGTGCTGCACAGATGCTTGTGAGACTGAGAAAAACAACAACAGAACTGGGTAGACAGAAAAGCAAAGCTATCAGAGATCAAAACTGTACCTCATTAGTCTTCGTTTAAAAGTGACGTGACGTGGTTTTACATGCACACCTGCAAATGTTGCTCATTTCATTCACACAGAAGGGTGGATTTATTTTGTATAATTAGACCTAATCTAATTAATTGTGGGGCATATGCAACGGGCATATTTCATGTGATTTGCAAAGATAAGGCTCTGTGGAAGACTTGCAGAAGCCTTACTTGATGTTGACTAAACAGCATTTAGTTTGCTAAAAACCCACTGCCATAGCAAAACAGAAATTCAGGTACAACAGGTATTTTGAAATACCAGATTGCTTCTCTGATGACTAATATGCAACTAGCAATATAACAGATCTGCTTACTAGAAAAGGAAAGGCATAAAACTTGTTTCTTATGTCTCTCATGCGACATGGTAAGAACAAACCCTACTGGCTGTGAAGGAAAGACAAAGCAATCCGCGTACCCGAACAAAAATGCTGATCAGCCTGCTGACATTGTCATCTTGTTGTTCTTGCTCTTCTTCCCTCCATTTTAAGACCTGTTTTTGTTCTTTTCCAGGAGCCTGTTGTGTGACACTGTGTTGTAAGAAGGTGCCTAGTTTTATTCTGCAGACAATATCGAAAATTTGCAACAGCACTGCAGATTAAACAAACATATTGCCTAAGGCGGAGCTGCTATGAACAACTCTCTGGTTGTTTTTTTTTTTCTACTTAGCTATTCTTAACAGGAAAACCAGGCAATTGCAAGTGAGAGTTTCAAGGCAAGTGTGAGTTTCAAGACCAGGAGGCATATTCACTCCCAGTATTAGAGAGCTAATCTGCCTCTTTAAACTCAGTGGAAAGAGGGTCCTGCTTTATGGACAGCCCCCTAAATCATTCTCAGGAGAGATGGCAGGCACACACAGCTCCCTGCCCCAAATGGTCACTCTCTGCAAAAGTGTTGGTGTATTTTGGTTCAAAGGGAAGGGATCAGATCTACTTCTTCTGACTGCTGCATCTCTGAGAACATGAACTGTTAATCCTGACAGGTAGGGATTTGATTCTAGTGTTTTATTTTTGGCTTGGCTAGATCTTAACAGAGGTAGAAAAGGACTTTCCCAGGTGGAAAACTTCCTGTCTAAGACTTCTGTGAAGTAGCGCAATATTCTGGTTACTACAATGCCTCAAAAAGTCCTGTTTCCTCCTTCCTGAGAGGGCACCCTTTCAATAAGACAGTCGTTCCATATCACAGTCTCTGCTTTCACCAAGCAGAGCTTATTCAGCTCTTAAGTTCCCTCCTAAATTCTCATTTCCAATGGCTTTGCTTGCTTTCTGAATCTCCTTCTAGTCATCTCGCAGGTCTCCGGCAATTGCGTGCTCAGAACTAAGCGCGTTACTGCAGCTGTCGGATATTCCTACAGCTCAAAATACATTTTACTGATCTGAACCACCAGGACTTCATATATCACTTACTCTCAGCACCTTTCAACTCTACAGTTTGCTCTGTCTCTCTAAATACTTGTAGTCCAGATTCTTCCTTCAGCTGCTGGCTTCTATTAGGTCAAATATAATTAGGCATCTACTTAAATTGTCTAAGTACAACCTGTGGCTTTCTTCCTCCACTATTGCCCAGTTTCTCTCTATTCTCTGCATTAGGACACGGGAGGTGGACTAGAAACAAAAAGTGTTCACTCACTTGTAGATGTTTCTGATTAACTGCTAACCCTAATCACTGTCACATAAACATCTGACACCTCCTAAATGCCTGTATCAAATGCCTTACTGAAAGCCAGATGATCTGTCTTTATAATCTCCTCAAATTATTTGTAACTGTCAACAAAGTACTTCTGCTCACTAATATATCTTATTTCCTCAGTCTACTATCACATCCCTTGTGTTCTATCACTTACCTGAGTAAGTGATATCACTTACCAGAACTGTAGTAACTCCATTAGCTGATTCCCTTACTGACCAGTACAGCAAATTGCCTGGACTTCTTCTGTGCTGCAGTAAGCTCACATTTCACAAATATTTTCTTACTTGCTTTTATCAGTTACCACATTACATCCTCATTGATTTTCAACTGTCCCTCATTTCAAATATTTTTTAAACAGATTTCCACCATTTCAGAGTTATCAATCTCCCTTCAGTGCTCCTGTATTAATAGGGTTTTCATATTCCTTTCCCTCCCAGGCACATTTGTGAAAGCTCTTCTTTCCTCAGCCTTCTGGTTAATTTATTGTTGCTGATGCCCTTAGCTTATCCTCTGAGGCTTAAATCTAGTCAGTTGGTTATTTGCAGTCCATCTTCCTTCATTCAGTGTAAAGCTACCATGCCACTTGCCACTGCACGTTGTGAAACTACAGAGCACATGGCTACAGGGATGCTTAACTCTTAAGACATAATTGTAATGCTCTCTGAGGTTCGCTTTTTTTATTTTCCTTCTCAGCTGCTAAATCACATTTTGAGATGACAGTGCTGCTAGTATCACTGGGAGGAAAAAGGGCAGAGCATTTGTTAGATGCTGGGTTGCCTCCTCAGCTGGGGCAGAGGAGGGTTTTTCTCCTGTATACAGCCAGTCTCAAGTGCTACTGTCTGGGGATTAATCCATGATCTCTTGAAAACAAAAACTTCAAATCATTCTTCAAATTAGTTGTTTGTACCACACTCCAGGAATTTCAGTGACTCATAAATCCTCATAAATCAAAGCAAGGGAAGTACTTGAAAATATCATGTGGAGCTTAAATGTTCTAGCCTATTTCACGGACCAAGATTTTCTGCTAATCAGGACATGTTACATATCTTTGCTTGGATAGTCACCTCATATTTCCCGTTCTAAATCAAGGTGCAGTAAGTGACATCTGTGAGTTTGATGCCACCCTATATGTGTTTTTATATGCCAGACCACAATATTATGACTTTCTGGAGAGCAGCCATATACCAAACAGCAAAACAGTTGCAAAAAGGAGAAGTTAAGAAAAATGAAAGGATTGTAGCTAAAAGGAAGATATTATTTAGCCTCCTTTGTACTTGCAACCTACTTTGAAATCAAGTATACCAAAAGCAGAACAGGATGAACAGGAAAAGAAAAAACACATTGCAAATATTGGGGCAGATTTCTTCAGTCTAACAAATTGTTGCCTATTTTCTGCAGTTTGGTGAGCCCCCTAGAGCAATACTATTGCCTTCTTTTCCATCCTATCCTTATCTCTGCTTCTGCAGCCAAATATATAGCTTGTCTCTTGCCAGGTAAGTCATATCACACTGCTCTCTGCCATTTTTTCAGATGCTCAGAAGCCCATTTGTGAAAACACCAGATCTTACTATCCCTGAGTCTAGGACATCCTCTGGAAGATTCCCGACTCCTGCTTTTAGAGTATCTTAGTAACAAAATGGATACCTTAATATCATGACTTCAGAAAAGGTACTGCTAATGTGCGCACCCATCAAGTTTTGAGAACCTGACAACAAAATTCCGTAGGTTCACAGAAAGGCAGTTTTGCAACTGCTTGCAAAGTTTCATCTCAGAGGTGTCAAAATAGCAACCCACAAGCTCTTTCTTCAGGATGAATGCTTTCAGGACTGTCCTCCCCCAGCTGTGTGACATTCATACAGGCATGGTGACCTCAGGCACAACTACTCACAACAGCTGAATTGCATCAACTGGCACAGGGAAATGACTCCTGGGGGACAGAAGCATCTGGCATGATACAGACCACACAGGAGCCCTCCGTCTCTCTCCAAACACAACTGTCCAAGGCTGCACGGACCCTTTGAAGAGGCAAAAGACAAGGCTGTCCAACAACAACCAATCTTGCAGTGCATCTGTTTCCTTCTAGCTGTAGGCTGTGAATACATGATTGAAATATTCTTTCTCTTGACACAGCCCTTTTATATAGAGTTTCACCAGAATTTCACAGGACAGCATATAGAAGGGAACATTTCATTTTAATTTCAACACTTAATTTCTTAGATGTAAAACATCTATCCAAAACAACCAAGAAATGACAAAAATACAGTGTTCCAATGTTTATAACTGGGGGTTTATTCCTGCAGAAGAGACTTGAGAGAGGAGACAAAAAGTAAGAAAATGGAAGCCTTTAATTTGATTCAAAACATGTTATTTCTGAATAAACTTAAAAGGTCATAAGCATTTAAAAGTTCTAATGGGGGTGGCTTAAGAGGAATCTTTCCAATGGTGAACTCCTTTGCTTCAAACTGTTGCCACTCTTCAGCTGATAATTCGCTCTTGGGTGTAAATAACTTCTCTGAGGCGGTGGTGTTGGTGACTGCAGCAGACGCTGAGGTGACGTGATGTCCAGAGGCACTGGCTGTCTGTCCAAACAAAGCACCACTTGAAGGTGAGGCAGAAGTGGCTGTGGCTGCATTAAAGGCTCCGAAGGCTGGGAGCGGAGTGGTGGTGCTGGAAGAGTTCACAGCAGCAGCGCTGCCAAAGCCTGAAAACCCAGAAGTCCCAAAGCCACCAGCTGTTGCAGCTGTTTTAAAGGAGAAGGAGGCTGCAGATGGAGCTGCTGGGCTGCCAAACCCAGCAGGTTGGGGTGCGCTGGGAGAGGACGTCGCCCCAAACGCAGGAGCACTACCAGCAGAAGAAGAGACCCCAGCAGCAGGGCTGGTTCCAGATGATGAGGAATTGATAAGGCTGGAACTGGCTTTAAAAGAGAAACTGCTGGCACTGGTACTGCTGCTGTTCACAGGAAAGCCTGCAAGTACAGAATTGATAAAAAATATTACAATGGGTACCCCAGTCATATTAAACCACTGCTGCATTTCAAAAAATGCAGCAGCAGAGAAACTCCAGAAAACGTTTGTATCTGCTAGTTCTTAGGGCAGGAACTTACTTGAGAGCCCAAAGCTTGATGTTTGCTGTCCTCCCAGTCCAAAGGCAGGTGATGGTTGGGTGCCCGTGTTCTTGAAAGCAGAGAGCTGAAAAAATTCCAAAGACGTAAGTGAACACTAGATTCCAAAACAGGGAACTGTCTTTCAGTAAATACCTGAGGCAAAAATAGAGCTGCCCAGTCTGACACGGATCACTTTCATCACGATCACATGCTCCTGCAGTTATGAACAAAATGCTTTCAGTCTCTACACACTCTTTTCTGGAAAAGCACTCCAGAAATGCAAATCTGTTAAAATCTACAGATTTCTTCCTGTCAGTCAATGACTTGATCACCTCTTGCTGCTCTCGTTCTCATCTCTTATTGTTTCATCTTGTGCTTTGTGACTCTATCTAGGGCACTGCTTTGACTCACTCTCTTCTCTCTCCTTGACACATCCAGTTTCCTGTGCTAAAGCCCAAATCCTGCTTCTCCACTTTCAGCATCGAACAGACCAAGGGCTGGGATCATGCTACTTAACCTTTAATGCACTTCATGGAAACTCCACTTAAATAAAGCCACTTCCCCTGTCTCCCCCATTATTGCTTATTAGCTTTAACTCAAGCAATTGCTTCTGAAAAAACATCTCGATTCAGAAGTGTTTGTCACCTTTCCAGAACCAATGACTTTTTTTATCTTCAAATGTTATCTTCAAATGCCTCCCAGCTATTTCTCAATTCCTCATTCTGGCATTACCCAAACACTCTGTTTATCCTAAAACAGCCTGGAGGGCAATTCCAGTCCAGTCTGCTGATTCTGTCTTGGAAGAGTCAACATTAGCACAGAACAGAAACATTTTGCCTTTCCCTAACACTTACCAGAGCTGCTTTTGTCGATGAATTTAAAGCTTTCAACTGAAGCAGACGATTTTTCCATTGTGCTGCTAACTGTTGGACAGCATCTATCTAAAAAGGGGGAAAGAAAAGCATGTTTTCATTACTGAAGACTTAAAAACAAAAGAAGAGTGATCTGGCAACTGAACTGAAAAAAGATATCCAGAATTAAAAAAGAAACTTCATTAAGCCAAGACAGGATTTTTGCTTTCTTGAAACTTCAGGGTGAGGAGTTGACACCTTTGTTTTTAGCAAAGAATTCCTTTAAACTCTCTTACTACTGCCCTTAAACCAACCTTTGTACTTTACATAGGGATAATAGTAAAAGAAAAATTCTGGGGCTTTTTAAATTCAAGTTCTACCTCTTTCTGAATTAGACTCAAAAAGGAAACAAATGACATAAGATATGTAAGTTTTAAATATATGAGAATAAACTCTTCAATCTCTGTTTGTTTTCTGGCCTGTCTACTTATGCGCTCACTCAATAAGCTCAAGTCCTAAGATTTGCCTTAGATTTTTCCATATCTTCAGAAAAAAAAAAACCACTTTCAAAACACTGTAATTCAGAACTTTTTAATAGTATCATCCTGAAATATTCAGTTTTGATGACATTAACACGTTCCATTAGATAACTGCACAGAACAGTGCAGCAGTAAATAGCATCTCTGTCTTGATAACTGTGATTTAGTATTAAACAAGAAACTGCCAAGTCTTCAAATAACCTTTTGGGAATTTTAAACTTGAATTTCCTACATTTATATTTAAGTTTAGCAACACATCTAATTCAATGCCTGGTCTAATTGAATTTTCCTTAAAACCGAAAAAAGTAAAACACCGAACGTCACAAATGCCTCTAAGAATGGAATGAATAATCTTTTTGTAGACAAATTCCTTAATTTTTCAAAAGAGTCTTACGACACAAACATCAATAATTCTTTTGTGTCTACTCACATGCTGGAAGATCATGTTGCTTGGTATCTGCTCTTATACAACAGACCAGAAAATTCAGATTTTGACCCAGTTTAAGAATAGAAACATGGAAAAGACATGTTGTACTTAAACATTTTGTGAGAAAACTGTATCATACAGTTATCATCTATACACTGAGAGTTTTGTGAACTTGCATTTACTACTTTGGTGAGACCATAATTTATTTTTTTTAATAGCCAGGCATAGCATATTGTTTAATCATTTTGGTTTATTATTTTAATTGAAATTTAAAAAAATTATGTATCTCTTGTCTCTGAAAATGCAATTCTGGTAAATCTAAACATATGAAGCCAGACTGGTGACAACAGCAATTTCTTCTGGAACACAGAACCAAGAACAAGAAGAAAGAGTGAAATGTAGCTTAAATTAGTTTATACTTGCCATCAGCCTAATTTCCAATAGCCTAATTTTCTTCTTGGCACAACATTAAACTCTGCTAGCTTCCTTGATATTGACAGGACTATGAGGAAGGAACAATACACATACATTGAGAGATATTTTATATAAAAACGTATGTGTTACTTCCAAAGGAATATATATATTTCTAAAAAAGAGGTATCTGCTATTTTCATCATTAGTTCCCTGCAATAAAGGCATGTAAAAGAATAAGGGAAAATAAAGTTTCCCAGTCTTCTATTTAAAGCACTAGATAACCAGCTATATTAATCAAACTGACTAATAGCATAGGAGATATTAAATTTTTGAGACAGCATTCCAGTAACTTCTACAAATAATACACAAGAGCAGGGACAAGATTAAGTCAAGGAGTGTCCAGCAGGTATTTTTGCATTCTATTTGGTGCACGGCAATTGAAAAATATTTTGGCATTCTGATAATCTCCTCGAGTTGGGAGCTCAATGAGTCAAGAGCTGCCATTTGAAGAATAGTAACAAGTCCTGTCCTAAAGAGTGTCCACACCGGTATTGTTTAAATACTTACATAATTCCCAATCATATTCTTTGCTCTGCTGTCATAATACTCCAGACGCAGTTCTTCTGGTGAGACATCCGAAAAGCCTGCAAGGACAGGAGTACCTCAAAAACCTCCAAGAAAACACATTCATATTTACAATCACCCTCCATAGTTATGAAGAAATGGGCCTTGGTACTTTGTCTGTCCTAAGTCAGTCACAGTCAGAGACACAAAAAAGATCCATTACAGAACTTCAGAGGTGTGAACATCCAAAATTAATTTGCATTAATCTCATATTCCTTTCTGTTGTATCACAAGGCAAATCATCACCTTGCAAATGGTTCCACAGAGGTACAACAGTGTAGGCAAGTCACAGAAACATCCTAAATAGCAGCAGTACGCAACAATACTAAAAACATTACCTACCTGAGACATTCAGCTTTTCTTTCATTGGTGAGTAAGATGAAAATATCCATTGTCCAGAAGATTCCCAAATTTCCATGTCTTTCACTACACATTCTCTACAAAACAAAGCAAAACCACAGATGAAGGTGAAATTACATGGTCAAAACAAAACCACCAGAAACAATTGCCTGGTTTCTGTCCAAAGTCAAAATCAATACCTGCTACCATGAAAACAAAGTGTTTCCCTAAACAGTCAAAATCTTAAAAAAAGTAATGGAAAGTGGTTCCAAAACCTTTTTTCTTTGGGAAATCACATTGCTTGCTGCTTCTTAGCACATGCCCTGTAATCACCTTGAATCTGCTGGTCACTCTCAACTGACTGTAACACATGTCTATGTGAAACCAGGTTTCAATAGTTTTGCTGTTGGTAGAAAAATTTGTCGTCTTGTCTGGAAAACCAAGTCAAATAATTCATTTTCCCAAAGGCGCTCTGACCCTTTATTTTCAAGTACTGAAATATTTGTTTTATTCCTTTATCCTCCTGCTCACAACTTAAATACCATACCATCTTACTAGTATCACAGCTGTTTAGCTGCCCAGCTCAGGTCCCAGACACGGATTGCTTCCTTCCCATGCCAGCATCATTCCAGAGAACCAAATGAAGTCGTGTTCTCTATTGTTCTTTCTACATGTCCCAGCTTCCTCCTCATGATACTGTTCTCTGCATTATCTCTAGGAAGTTAGTAAGCTTTTAAACTGCTCATTCTAAATGCCTTCAGTAAGACAGGAGTATAACTTACAGAAGTCTCTCCTCTTCATCTTTAGAGCCATCAGCAACACTCTGACTGTTCGCTAATGCCGAGAACCTGTTCTGTGAGAAGTCTGCATTTCTGCTGCCGCCGCCTGATGATCCAAAGTCAGAGGAGCCAAAGAATCCTCTTCCATGATCTCTGCTGCCACCCCATGTATCAGACTTGAAGGTAGATGGCTGGATAACACTGCTGTATCTCTGGTTAGAGGAACCCCATCCTCCTCCTCTTCCACTAGTAACTTCCAAATAAAAAAACAAAGAAAGCAAACAACAGAAATTTTTAATCATTAAGATATGAAACAAAGAGCACCAACAAAAACTGTAAGTATAACCAGTCTTATGGTGGCAATAAGAAGTTTAAAATGAAAATGCAGTTTTTTCCTAATGAATTAACCTCATTATTTTGTGAGCTTTACCTAGTGAGTTACGCATGGTAGTTCAGGAGTCAGAGGTAAATGGGAACTCCTTCTCCTCACGTGGAACCACGGAATAGTTTGGGTTGGAAGGCACCTTTAAAAATCATCTAGTCTGACCTCTCCTGTACCATAATGAGCAGAGACACCTTCAACCAGATCACCGTGCCAATAATACGTGGCATCCCAGAAAGAGACTGTTTCAGTTTTGTTGAGGTCATTTCACGAAGAAACTACCCTAGCAGAAAAAAAATTAACTCACCATGTGTTTACATTAGGAGCTCCTGCCTCCTGCTCTGCTGCAGCACAGAGAGCTCCAGAGTTCCGTTCTGAGACCTTAAACACATCTGTGCGTGTGTGTTACAAACTCCGACCCTCCTTCAGCAGGAATAAGGACAAGCAACTGCAGCCGTGTTCCTGCCATCACTGTTGCTCTCAACTCCCGGTTGCATCACTTGCCTTTCCAAAGCTCCCAGACACACAGAGCCAATGAGAATGGAAACAGCCTTCACTGGCCACAACATAAGGCTACTGGAAACTTGCTCACTACTCTTGGCAGGAAAGTTTCCTGAGCTGCTTTCCCGTGGCCTTGTGGCACATCCCACGGTCCAAGAATCACAGAATCAAGTAGGGTGGAAAAGACCTCTGAGGTCATCGAGTCCAACCTATGACCAACACCACCATGTCAACTAGACCATGGCACTAAGTGCCACGGCCAGTCTCTCCTTAAAAACCTCCAAGGACGGTGACTCCACCACCTCCCAGGGCAGCCCATTACAATGTCTAATCACCCTTTCTGTGAAGAAATTCTTCCTAATGCTCAACCTACACAGTCCCTGGCACAGTTTAAGACTGTACCCTCTTGTCCTGTTGCTGATCGCCTGAAGAAGAGACTGACTCCCACCTGGCTACAACATCCTTTCAAGTACTTGTAGAGAGTGATAAGGTCTCTCCTAGGCGTCCTTCTCTCCAGGCTAAACACCCTCAGCTCCCTCGGTCTCTCCTCACAGGACTTGTGCTCCAGACTCTTCGCCAGAGCCCAACCCCGTGCGTGCCAAACCAGAGGCTGCTGCCGAGACTCCCGGGCCCGGCCCGCCCGGCTCCGGAGCTCCTGCCGGCCGGGGGCCGCCTCCAGCCGGCCCGGCCCGGCCCGGCCCGCTGCGCTGAGAGTACCTTGTGAGGGCGGTGCGGGGCCCCCGGGGCGGCCGGCGCCGCGGGGGTGCTCGTTCCAGCAGCGTTCCCCGAAGCGGCAGTACCCCCGCAGGAAGAACTGGCACACGCCCATGGCCGCCCCGCCGTCGCCGCCGCTCTGACGTGCCAGGCGCGCGCCGGGAGGAGCGAGCGCCGGCACGAGCGCCGCCGCTGCGCCCGCGTGCTGGGAGCGGGGTCTGCGGCCGGAGCGGGGATGGCGGCACGGGTCCGGTCGGACCGGGGGATAACACACCGACAGGCTGCTGCCAGAGCCAAAGTAGGATTTGAGTGGAGCTTTGTGCAAACCCGTAGTCCTTGGCACAGTAAAATACCCTCCCGTCGGCTGTAATCGCACCTTGCTCACATAAGCCCCTTTCCCACAGAGCCCGCGTGGTAAAATATTTGTGTGCTGTATCTTTACAGGGAGACGAAGGAATGTATGGCCCATGGCTATGGAATCATAGAATCACCAAGACTGGAAGAGACCTTTGGGATCATCCAGTCCAACCTTCAGCCCAGCACTACCTCTGTAACCCCTAAATTATTGTTCCATTTCCAAATGATGTATGTTTACCAGTGGAGTCGTGTAACTATTGAAGGTCTGGGCCTTAGGGTAGAGGACTTGGGTAACTTGAATGTTACTAAATCTAACAACAGGAGAAAAACCTTTGCAGCCATACCTACATGGAGTGTAGTCATGGAGTGTACAACTGGAGATAATAAACCAACTCAAGAATAGGCTGTGCATACCCGTCTGAAACATTCTTTTTCATACAGTTTTTGCCCAGAATTTCACAGGATAGCATATAGAAAGGATCATTCTATTTTAGTTTCAACACTTAATTTCTTAGATGTAAAAAGTCCATCCAAAACAACCAAGAAATGACAAAAATACAGTGTTCCAATGTTTATAACTGGGGGTTTATTCCTGCAGAAGAGACTTGAGAGAGGAGACAAAAAGTAACAAAATGGAAGCCTTTGATTTGATTTCAAAACATGTTACTTCTGAATAAATTTAAAAGGTCATAAGCATTTAAAAGTTCTAATGGGGGTGGCTTAAGAGGAATCTTTCCAATGGTGAACTCCTTTGCTTCAAACTGTTGCCACTCTTCAGCTGATAATTCGCTCTTGGGTGTAAATAACTTCTCTGAGGCGGTGGTGTTGGTGACTGCAGCAGACGCTGAGGTGACGTGATGTCCAGAGGCACTGGACAGCCACTGGCAGTCTGTCAAAACAAAGCACCACTTGAAGGTGAGGCAGAAGCTTGATGTTTGCTGTCCTCCCAGTCCAAAGGCAGGTGATGGCTGGGTGCCCATGTTCTTGAAAGCAGAGAGCTGAAAAAATTCCAAAGACGTAAGTGAACACTAGATTCCAAAACAGGGAACTGTCTTTCAGTAAATACCTGAGGCAAAAATAGAGCTGCCCAGTCTGACACGGATCACTTTCATCACGATCACATGCTCTTGCAGTTATGAACAAAATGCTTTCAGTCTCTACACACTCTTTTCTGGAAAAGCACTCCAGAAATGCAAATCTGTTAAAATCTACAGATTTCTTCCTGTCAGTCAATGACTTGATCACCTCTTGCTGCTCTCGTTCTCATCTCTTATTGTTTCATCTTGTGCTTTGTGACTCTATCTAGGGCACTGCTTTGACTCTTCTCTCTCCTTGGCACATCCAGTTTCCTGCGCTAAGCTCTGGCCCCTTTCATGTGGTTTGCAATGAAAATATTTCAAAGCTGGGATCCAGCTGCTGCCTTGCTAACATGGAATTGTCCTGATTGGCTCTTTTCCTCAGTGAACTAAAGGGGTCTGTAATACCTGCCTGCAATTCCCTGATCTCAGGATTCGAGAGTATATACCCAGGTGACACATCACAATTAGCTATATCTCAGAGGCCTTTTGTAACTGAAATTAACATCAGCGTAAATTAATTCATTCAAAGGTGACAAGAGGAACATTTTGCCTTTCCTCAACACTTACCAAATTGCTTTTGTAGATGCATTTAAAGCTTTCAACTGAAGCAGACGATTTTTCCATTGTACAACTAACAGCATTTATCTAAAAAGGGGGAAAAGAAAAGCATGTCTTTATTACTGAAGACTTAAAAACAAAAGAAGAGTGATCTGACAACTGAACTGAAAAAAGATATCCAGAATTAAAAAAGAAACTTCATTAAGCCAAGAAAACCGGTTTTTGCTTTCCTGAAACTTCAAGGCAAGAAGCTGAGATTTTTGTTATTAACAGAGAATTCCTCTAAATGCTCCTACTATTGCCCTTAAGTCAACTTCTTTGACTTTATATAAGGAGTAAGATCAGATGGGACAATTTGAGCGAGGGATCTCAGGCAGAAAGAGGACATTATGGCAGAGCATACAGACCAGCAGCTGTTTCAGTACTCTATTTGGTATACCAGAATTGAAGGATATTTTGGCATTCTGATAATCTCCTAGAGTTGGGAGCTAAGTGAGTCAAGAGTTGGCAACCTGAAAAACAGTAACAAGCCCTATCTCATGGTGTCCACACCAGTCAGCATTTTTAAAATTCTTACGTAATTCCCAATGATATTCTTTGCTCTGCAGTTGTAATACTCCAGATGCAGCTCTTCTGGCAAGACATCCAAAACGCCTGCAAGGACAGGAGCAGTCAAAACCTCCAAGAAAACAGATTCATACTTACAATCGCCCTCCATATTTACGAAGAAATGGTCCTTTGTTACATGGTCTGTTACATAGAGACACACAAGGGATTCATTATCAAATTTCACAAAACGCCCAAAATGAACTGGCAAACCACCACCCTCCTTCAACAGAAATAAAGAGAAGCGACTGCAGCCGTGTTCCTGCCGTGCCATCACTGCAGCCCTCGGCTCGCCGTCGTGTCCTTCACCTTCCCGGAGCTCCCAAACACCCAGAGCCGGTGTGAACCGAAACAACTTTCACCAGCTGCAACAGGCAGCTGCCGGACACTTGCTCGCTGCTCCTGGCAGGGAAGTTTCCCGAGCCGCTTTCCCATGGCCTCGTGGCATATCCCGCAGTCCCTTCGCCAGAGTCCAACCCCGCGAGTGCCGCACCGGAGGCTGCTGCCGACAGCCCCGGCCGGCTCCGGAGCTCCCGCCGGCAGCGGTCGCTCGGAGCGCCCGAGGCGGGCACCGGGGCAGGGCTGGGGGCGGCCTCCAGCCCCCCCGTCCTGCCCGCCCCCACCTCGCCCCGCCGCGCTCGGGTACCCGGGGACGGCGGTGCGGTGCCCGGAGCGCGGGTGCTCGTTCCCGAACCCGTAGCCGAGGCGGCAGCAGCCCCGCAGGAGCCGAAGAACGAGCGTGGCCGCCCCGCGCCGCCGGCGGTGAGGTGCTGAGGGCCGCTGGGGACCAAGGAATATACAACCCGTAGAACAACGGGGCTCCGCAAGTTTAAAAGCGGATAAAACCAGACAGAAGAGCCTGTCCAGCCTAAAAAGGGCACAGTTCTCGCTAGGATTCTCGAGGAGCGGAGGCACCAGGGACACGTTTGTTTCGTGGCTATGAGAAAGGAAAGGCAAGGGGGAGCAGAAAAAAAAAAAGTCACGCAGCCTTCACTTACTGCTGAATAAAGAACGGAGTTGCAGGAACCGCTATTGAGCCCATGAGCGCATCTACTCCTGTCTGTACAGGCAGACTTGTCAGGGTGAGGGAGAAAACCCGGAGGAAGCCTACAAAGAAGCACTGACTTTGAAAACCAGGAGTTAGACTACTTAGGAGAATTTGGAGGACCTTCGAAATTAAAACAGACTAAACATCCACAGCACCAGTGAGGTACAAGGTACAGGTAGGCAAGCAAGCACCAACTTTTGAGGTTAACTCAACAGTCTCATAGAAACAGACCTGAAAAAATTAGCAAGTTAGAAGAGAGGTGACAAAATTACAATGAAGCTATTAATGAACTAGCATGGGAGCAGGACAGACATCAGACAGACATCATTTGTATAGTTCTCCAGAACTGAGAAGAGGCACACAAGTGTTGATGACACCGAGCCTGACAGGCTGGACTTCTATGCTGGACGAAGAAATTACCATCGTGGTGGCTGGGAGCATTTACAGAGCTCTGTGCTTCTAGACCAGAGATGAATAACCATGCGCAACTTCTGAAGACTTCTGTAAAGTATCTTTAATGACTCTGTTCATGCCATTTTAAAAACAGTCACTTTCAAGAAGAAAATCAATATATCTGTATATTGTATTTGCTTTTCCCATTCCTCTTCCCATCTTTGCTAAAAGTTTGGCATCCACAGTATGTACAGTCTGATGCCTGGGAAGAGAGACTGAAAATTCACTCCAAGTTTCCAACTTGTTAATTATAGTGCACAATTCTTGTCAACTTCAACCCTTTGACTTCCCTTACCTCAGTGTAATAAAAAAAAAAAAACAAACGAATCCAAGTCTTTCCGTGAAAGCTCCCCAAAATGCCAGAGACCATCAAAATGTTTCTCTAATCTCTATATATGGCCTCTCTAACTTTAAAAAATTGATAAGGAGTCATGCAAATGATGGAAGAAACTCATTGGAAGAGTGCAGCTATCACGATCTAGAGAGTTGTAGAAATATTGGGAATCTTTATTAGACAGCAGTCCTTGGTCTTTCCTGAGAAAATATCTTCATTGCATCCTGGTAAGATTTCTGCAGGTAGGTATGAATGAGAAAAAAATTTTGCCCATCTTTCTCATGACCCAAGCTATACCTACTAACCATTACCAAATGAAGTATCTGCAACTGACCTTGGTAAAGTGTCATTTAACCAGAAATCTTTTCTTCACCAAATGCTTTAGAAGAGTTCTAAGTATTTTTAATTTGGTCTATGTTTGAGAAGGCCACACCCACAGCCCTTTTAAAGGAAGATGCCATGTGATGTTACCTAGGTAAGTGGATTCTCAAAACACATCCCCATCTCTTAAAACAGACAAGAAAATGGGCATGACAAAATCCACATTACACAATATGCTGTATATACAAATTGAAAGACTGCATCTCATTTTTTCCTGTTATTAAATTTAACAAGATTCAGTAAAATATGGAAGCAAAGCACCAATAGCCATCTTTCCCCAAGTCCTTGAAGAACGTCTCAGCATCTCCTACAGGTCTTCAGATCTCTAATGTTTCTTCATTTGCCCCGCAAGTGTCTACAACACAGATTAAACAACTCGTCACGGGGAAAGCACGGACTTTGGAGTTGGCTATCCACTTGTCTGTTTCAGTGTTATATTCAAGAATGTGCCCTAAGCGACCAACACCCTGAAAACCAGCCAGGACATAGACTATAGATCCCACTGCAGCACACTTCACTGTTACACCTTTCCATGGCATTGGAGACACCATCTTCCATTCATTCATCTTGATATCGTAATATTCTACATTATCAAGGCCACCTACAAAACAATGAAATAGATAATTGCTTATTACATTATACTGTATGGACTGAACTAGAGCATGCAACTATTCCATGAAACTGAAGTCTTTATTTTTAAGGTTTTAAAAACCCTACAGTAAAAAAAACAAACCTGAAAAAACACCCTAGGTTTCTAAACTAGCAGTTTACCCTTGTATAAATACAGAGAAAAGTAAAAAGGAGATTGAAAGTAAGATGTGTTGTAACAAATTCACATTAGACGCTTTCTAGAGATTCCAACGTGTTACTACTTCATGAACAGAAGAACTAGCGATGCTGAATTTGTGATGGATTTGTGGCTAGTAACTAAAACTTAGGAATCTATCTGAAACTTCCCTGTAGCTAGGGCATTTTATTCTAGAGGACTGACAGGTACCTTTACCAAAATTGGCCATTTACTGATAGAGGATGTCTCTCTTCATGATGCTAGTAAAATCAGTGAAGTGTAAAAGCCTTTGATAAGGGCCAAAGAAACCAAGAGTTATTACAGAAGAGTAGATTTTATGACTAAGATTCGCTTCTTCAAGAAATATGTTAGTAATTACACCTTACAATAGCCATAAACATTCTGTTATCCTTATTTAACAACTCTGAGTCAGTTTTCACTTCCAGTCCTGAATTACCAGATCTGAGAGATTAAGAAACTTTTCTATCATGTTAAGAGGTATGAGTCTTTCACCCCATACATAAGTCTTCCTCATTCTATTCCAGTAAGACCAGTCATTAACACTTCCAAAAGGAGCATTCAGCTAACATTGTACAAGATGGCAGCTCTGGCAGTTACAGATTGATAAAATGTTTGCGCAATAAATGCATCTACCGTTTTTTGCATTAGGAATCAATCACGATGGAATAGTTTTAGTAGCCAATTAAAAATCAGGCTGTATTCTAAAATAGCATTCATCGGATATCAAGTATACCAGTTACCATAAATAGTGACTTTAAAACCTCATAAATGAGAATTTTCCATTTTGAAAAGCACTTTAGAAACCCTCGGTAATTAAAATTCAATTATTCTGGTAAATAAACTATTATTCTTCTAGTTTTAAAGACAAGGAAACAGGCAGATCATAAATGACCTGCCCACGACAGTAAGTCTTATTTCAAAGCTGGGCACTCAAAAGAGGTCTCACATTTTCACTGCTTTATAATATCTGACTATCTTTAAGTCTTTGGACTGAAGTTCCTAAAATAGTGGCTATACCTTTACCTGTCTCTCTAAAGAATGCTAAAATATCTCAAAACACATCATAAATAACTAAAAAAAATAAATTAATTCTCTTTTCTTAGATGCCTGGTTTAGCCATATTAACTACTTCGGAACTGGGCTACAGTAGGGGTAGGTATCTGAACTTGACGGTACTCTTATTAGTACAAGAATTTAAAAAATAAGATACAGTGAAGTGGGGAGGTGAAAAGAGGAACGCAAAACTAAAGTGGCAACAACAGGATGTTTGATGGTGTTGCTCAGAGTTTTTCAGTTGAAGAGAGCAGAATTCATTGCAAAATAGACCAGAGCAGAATTCATTGCTGTGTGACCAGCTAGAGAATTAATAGAATTCAAGTACCTAAACCATTTTGTCCACCCACAGCAAATATTTTGTCCTTTACAAACACCAGCCCATGGTTCTTCCTGGCTTCAATCATTGGACACAGCTCAGTCCACCTGGGGAAAAAGAAACCCAAACACAAGAGGAAGAGTCACCATCTAGTTCATAGAAAGTAAGTATAAAACATTTAAATGAAACCTATCATTAAGAAAATGAAACAGGGATGAAAGCTGCTTAAGAAAAACTGCCTTTCAAGTAAAGCTACAAATAACTGATTCCTCACTGCTGACTCAGGAAAATTCCTTACCATATACAGTTTTTCCTTTAGTCATCTATACTTGAGTCATTTACAGAGCTAGCAAAGACCCAAATGACTAAAAATAACATTAATACAATTAATACAATACTTACGTTTCGGTGGCTGGATCATAAACTTCACAGGAATTTAGGACTCTTCCAGAAACATTGTTTCCCAAGCTTCCTCCGCACACATAAATGAGACCGTTCGCCTCTACCATTCCATGGCTGCATCGCTGAGTCAGCATGCTGGGCTTCGTGTGCCAGCTTTCTGTTCTCGTGTCATAGCACTCAAATAAATACAGTGCAGAATTTCCTTAAAAAAAAACAGAAACCCACCAAAGTGGCATTAATTTTTATGGTTGTCTTTCAAGGGAAGAGTCTAACAGCAATTATCAAACTGAGACTTGGTTTCTTAGTTGAAAAGGGAAAGCTGCTTTCCCACCTCCAAAAGTAGAGCTGACCAACTTGAAATTTGGGACTATTCAAAAGCACATACTTATAGTTTCTTTCACTCGTTTATTCCAGTAAGTAAGTTGATTAAATTGCTACTTTTGTTTAAAAACAACAAGAAAAAAAATAAAGTTTGGGGTTTTTTGAGGGGAATAAATCCTGAACAGAGATATATATAAATATAGATTACTGATCCCCTGTCATCAGCTCATGCTACTCTTACTACTTGGAAATATATTGAACTTTCAGATGTAAAGTAACCATCTTTGTAAACTTACTACAAGTTCATGAGTTTTTTCTGTATGCAATGTGATTTGCCCAATTCCCAGAATACTCATTGCCTTTGGAATTTTGATAGCTTGATTATGTCATACCATACTCCTGAATTATTAGCAATCACCAAACAGCTACCCCTCCCCACTTTATTTTCTTCCTGAGGAGTAGCAGATACTCATTTTCTGGAAGTGCAGGGTCTGTGTACTCCTCCCTCAGGGGCCAAGAAAACTATCACTGAAATCAAAAGCGATTTTTCTAATGAAGATACATGGGAGCTTAAAGACTTGTGCTGAAGTAACTGAATCACAGGCAAGGCAGAGAAGGCTGCATACAACTTTCTCAGAAAAGAACCAGGGTCCTTCTTCCCTTTGCTTCAATAGATATATTCACCTAGAACAGTTAAAGGTGGCTTTTCTTGTGCCTCTTCTTCCTTGGATTTCTACTTCCAAAAATTGTGTCATACTAGCAGTACTCACTACCAGTTGAGGGTTTGAAGCTTAAGAACAATGCTATGTTTCCAGACCCAAAATACAGAAACAGACTCCTATAAACTGTGTATTTGTTTACTTCTACTCTGTAATTCTCAATTTCACCAAAAATTGTATAGAGTGGGATGTATTTTTTCTTTGATGTAAAGTCATCCTTATCGTTTTGAAGCTGTAGAAATTCCCATCCATAGAAAATAAGGCAGATCTGTCTTTAATGTCTTTTTTAACAGATAAAAGCTTCCATTTTCAGTATAATGAAAAGTATTTCTCCTGTACCAAAACAGAGTGGAACAATTCAGCTTCTAAACTCTGCTAGTTATTGCAAATAAAACAGGACTCCCATCAATTCAAGAAGGGGAAATGAGCCATGGACTGGCACAGTAATCCAACCTCTTCAATTGATGCAAAAAACAGGCAATTTTTTTACATTTCTTTGTAGCTAAACACTTGCAGCATTTTATCAGATTAATGCTTTTACATAATTGCCTGCTTCAAATTAGAAAATACTAGATTCAGGAGAGACAGACTTTTCCAAACATTCAGTGTTCACTGAATCTAAAGAAAAAAGTACAGGCAAAATAAACTGCATTATTCAATTTGGGCTTTTACTGTTCTGTCTTGAGTAATATTTATGGAAAGCAAAGTGCAGCTGTGCACAGTGTAAGGGTAGTTTTCAAAGAAAACTGCTAAATTAAGATCTCCATTACGGTTGTATTAACTATTTAACACGTATTCGAAAATAAACTATACAATCAAAAGTTTCTATCATTATTCCCCATGAACTGAAATGTGGGAAATTATGAAGATTTATGAGATTTTGTAGTGTTTCAAGTTTCCCAGTGCAGCCTTAGTTAAGTCTGTTTCAAGTAATGGGAAAAGTGCTATTTCACATTTAGCACGTGAGGTGGCAGCTGGGAACTGCCTATTCTGCTGCTTTATTAGACCTCTTAAAATATTTGAGGCCAAATTACATGGCCTACATGTTACAACCTCCCGTTAAATGACTTATCAATGTTAAGCACTGATTATGACCTTTTTTCTCTGTTCACCTCCCTCTGCACCGATGCAGAACTCAAAAGGATCTACTAGAAAATTTCATTCTTCTAGGATTTTTTTCCCCAGAACATAGCTTTTTTTAAAGCTCTACTTTCAAGGATATAGCATGCCTACATTACAACTTTTGGGTTGTTGATGATGTATCAGGTGTAGACAAAATAAAATGTTCCTATAACATGATAGCATAAGTCAGCCTCTAGGGTTTTTTGGAGAGAGAAAAAATCCCAATGGTCTTATTTTTTCTTTACTGTTTTGAGTAATAACATCTAGAGAAAGTATTTTATCTCCCTTTGCTGAAGCAAATCAACAGAATAACAAAATAAAAGAAGATAACTTCTGCCATTTGAAAGAAAAATTGGACAAATTCCTTTAGAGGACCAGGTATCATTTCACCACCAAGAGCAGTAGTTTTAAAAGATTTCTTTTCTACCTTTCTTTTTTCCCCTTGAAAAAAAAATCTCATTAGGCTCAACATATGCTGCATACAAGGAAGCTGTTGTCAAAACGCAGCTATTCTGGCCACATATCGCAGAAAATTTTAAACCACTCAAAGGTTTGTAGATTTATAGAAGTGGGACTCCCAAAATATATTTCATAGAATCACAGAATAATTTGGTTTGGAAGGAACCTTAAAGATCACCTATTTCCAACTCTCCTGCCCATGGGCAGGACACCTTCCACTAGAACAGGTTGCTCAAAGCTCCATCCAACCTGGCCTTGTCCCTAGTTAACCCCTAAGAGCTGCAGTCTACTTTATGCTCTAGTTAATGTAAAGATTAATCATTTCATTCAGTGAAACCATTTTAAAAACACAGGTTGTTGGATTGGGCAAAGGGGGATAAAATCCTAAATATAGGAAAATAATCTCATTAGGCTAACATGGCAAAGTGCAGTTTCTTGTCAACAGTCATGCAAAAACCAGAAAAATTTCCAGCTATCTTTCTTTGTGCTTTTTTGTTTGTTTTAAAGATTTTTAGTGTCTTACCCACTTCTGAACCACCAGATGTATAAATTTTGCCCTCAGCAGCACAGGCTGCAAGGCTATCTCGAGGTGTTGGAGGTCCTAGCTTGGAATACCAGCTATCCTTCACCACATTGTAGCAGTCCATTCGCTTTATAGGGAAGAGCTGGGAACCACCCAAAATATAAACTACGTTGTCCCAGAAGACACAAGCTGCATCCCTGCGCTTTTCAAAGGGACATCGGATGTCTGTCCAGCTGTAATCCTGCATTACAAAGAACAAGTAATGTCTAATAGATTATAACACTTACCTGCACAGCGAGTGTTTTTCAAACACAGCTTTTCATAGAGATTTAGATATGGTCAGTTTTAAGTTCCTTTTCAAAAAAAACATGAACACTGTTTATTGAAGAATACTCCTCAGGCGTACTCTTAAAAAATTCTTTTAGACACAGACACGGTTAGCTGCAATGAACCATGACATTATGAATTTCTATTTCATTCCCTGTGTGCACCCAGTACAACGTCCCTGAAAAACAGTTGTGTTTTTTCCAACAGAATTGACCTCCTGCTGCTATTATGTTAGAAACAATGCATGTGATCAATAAAGTAGGATTGCATTTTCTTTTATAGCAATGGAAGAAGACATCTTACATATAGTAACAGATTATTTCTAAAAAATAATAAAATACAGAATGTACCAAAGACAATGGAAAAAGGAGAATATCCAAATTGACAAGCAACTCAGTTAAAAAGCTCTGATACATACTTTATTACCATGACAACTAGAAGCTTATTTACAGAATTTACAAAACACAAATGATCTCTAGCTATCCACAGTTGATCGCATGAGAAATAGGGTAATGCTCCATCACAAATACTGGCAGTCACGTTGCCTAGAAACTGATTTTGCACAGATTGGCAAAATCAGCGAGTATCAAATACAGGCAGTAATGCCCAAAGCCTTAATAACACCAAACTCAGCAACTGATGGCAGACCAGGATAGCATACAGCACAAGAAACACTTCTTGAGTAATAGCATCTCACATATTCCATGAGCATAGTTTGTATCCTATACCGAACAGGAAAGTACGGGACCTTAACTGTTATCTGTGCCACCTCAAGATGGTCTACCTCAACCTGCTGAATGACCTTCACTGCAATGGTTCACACAAGACGTTACATCATTACATTTTCTTAGCAAGGACATACTTCAAACACCTTGGTCAATGAGGAAGAACAGCGACTCCTACATGGGGGTTCAAAGAAAGAGAGGCAGAGCATGTTATAGTCCAAAACATCTTACAATCTTTTCTTGTAGCATCCCCCATATCAAGAAGAGCTGGCAGGTGCATGTGGCCCTTTATGGTGAGAAACAGGTCCTGGGGCATCCTAGAAAGGAAAGCCATACTACAGCATGGCAAAATAAATAGCTGCATAAATCTTAAGAAAATGTCTCAGCGCATTGTGCAAGATCAACATACTTTCTAGCTTAAACTGGCAATTTTACAAAAAATCCTGTTGTTTTCCTTTACTGTTATAAAGGGCTGTGATCTGACCCACTTTTATAGCTTCAGCTCATGTATCCATTTCATCCATACCTTTATCAAACAGAAAGCCATAACTTGAGCATCTCAGCAGTATCCTCCTCTTTCAGCAGGAGGCAATTTAGGCCATCCTCTTGTAATGCTCTTCAGTGTTAGTCTGTACCACATAGAATTGATTCAATTTTTGCATTTAACACATTTAGGAATTATGCAGAAGAGTTGCTTTACACCACAGTCAATATCCACACAGCCCTGGGAAGTGCAAGCCTCATTTCTGGGGGCCTGAGTAAGGAAAGACAGACCAAGACAGGTATATGGTGACACTTCCCCTGCTGATCTCTGTTTTCAACAAATGGTTGATTTCATCGATTTACTTAACCACTTATTAAAACTATCTGAACTCCTAAGAGCCACAAGACCCTGTGATAAGAATGGCACGTGCAATTATGGGTCATGTGAAAAAGCACATTTCTTGTTTAAGACTTTTCCCTCATTTTCAGTTGATACCTTCTCTTCAAAGTTTGTCACAGAAAACAGCAGACATGCCCAATATGGACAACCTCCCCACTAACAGCTTATTGACTACACCTTCATCTCCTCATAAAAGGTATGCTGTTTCCCTTAGTCATCAAGAAATAGCATTGCCAGGCATCTGTCACTTTTTACTTGATATTGTTGAATTTTACACTGCTAAAAAGTTAAAACTTCCAACCATTTCTGGTCACTAGAGACAGCAATTTCAAAAGAATAAGCATATTGCTGACCTGAAATCTCAAAGTCATGTATAAATTTTTTATCAAGAACTCATAGAACAAAACAACCAGTATGTTATTCCCAACCTAGGGGAAAAAAAAAAAAAAAGAATATATTTTTTAAAAATAATATGTGGAAAATTCAACAAGAAAATGCTTCCCACAACTGTTACTAAGATTTCTAGTAGTCATCTGAAAACAAACATCTCTACTCAAATTAGTGCCAGACTGCTCCACAAGTGTTATACCCATCTGCATCTGCCCCATTGCATCATTTTACTCTCTTGATGAAGTACATGCATCAATAGAAATACCAGTTACAGTGCAACACAAACAACAAATATAGTCTTAAACTCATACTGCTAACAGTCTCAACAAATAACACACAGTATCCAATCCAGTCTTATTTAAAGCACCCTTTTAACAAGAAGGAAATGAAAATCAGCATTAGAGACTAATCTTGTGTGCAAAGGCATCAGTGAAAATTAAAATTTTTGCACTAGTTTTATCATGTCAGAATTATGGAAATCTGTATTACAACTGTCAATTTAGGTGACATAAGATTTTAATTAAATTACTAAATTTAATTAAATTCACAAGTGAAGGACTAGGTCACTATTCCATTAACAGACAATAAACAAAATTTCAATTCTTTCCCAAGGTCCTAACCTTGCAAAAGTACGTACACAAGCTTAATTCCCTGCTCTGTGACCCTTTCATCATCTTTTGATGAGACTAATTAAAATGAGTTAAATGCTAATTCAACGGGGGTTCTGGATCCTTGGCTTGTTGCATTTAAGAAGCTACTGTCATAGTTTTAAATATCAAACTCAGATATTCAAGCAAAACATTCAGAAAAGGACCTTTAAATAGATTAGAACTGGAAATTAGGTAAAAGCTATCCAACGAGACATGACAGGCTAGCTAAGAACACCCAGGAAAGGATACAAGCACTAGGAAAACATGCTTGTTAGAAAAACAATCTCCAATTTCCCACTTCTTGAATTTTCCTTCCCTGCCCCATTCTCCCCCTGCCCATTAATCCACATGCAAGGCCATAAGTCTTGATCGGGAGGCAGTTCTGTAAAATTTCTTCCCAATTCAGTTACTTTTTGGTGTTATGCTTGGACAAATAGTCTATGAAAGAAAAAGGCATTTTATCCTATGCTTTATGTAGACTTTCATGGATGGTACTTTTTGTCCACAAAACAGATTTCTTTGCCAAAACCATGTAACTGTTTGAAAAGTTCTGAATGCCCTGATCAAAGACTTCCCCAACTCAGACCCTGGAAAGGAAAGGATTATCTGCTCTGCACCCCTCACCTCCTCATCCCCAGCTGGAATATTGCTTATCTTGGGTATGTGTATGAAGGAAAAAGGTGGTCGTTAGCTGGGAATCTTGAACTCCAAATGGAAATTCATATCAAATGTCTCTCAATCTAAGTCAGCAAAGGTAGTAGGTTTTTCTTCTCCCCAGGTTTGAGTGGTACTCAAAGAAGGTGGCTTCAATTTCATCTTACATAGGAATGTGACAGAAAAGTTCAAAACACATCCCCAAGGCTCATTCACTCTGAATTAGATTTGACAGGGCTCACATTGACTATAAAGTTCACACAGATAACACACAAAACCGTTTGAAATCATAACAAGCATTTAATATGCTGAGTTAGAACCAGAATTTCTGCACAAAATATTACATGCATGTGATTTCATAACTTAGAGAGCCCTGATGTTTATGTAGCAACTTTTTTCTGTATTACTACATGTGCTTGCCTGGTAAAACAGAGTATGGGTAAACCTTCTGCATGCAGTTGATGTTTCTAGACCATTTAGTCTGTATAGCTGAAACATACATCATTCCTGTGGCTCGATTTTATTCAGGAAACACGGGAACAAATTTCAGGCAGAACTTGGTTGCTATAAATTGGCCAACTCTAAGTTTTTCGTTGAAGAAACTCACTCTTTTCCACTTACGTAATACTTTCTCCTCATTCCCCATCCCACTCTTTACATACTCTTAAGAACAAACAAAATCCTGAACCATTAATATTTAGAAGTGGTTGCATATTTATAATAATTGCACTAAAAAAAAAAAAAACCCTTGCACTTCAAAACTGGATTCTACACTAAAATATGAGCCAATAACTTAACAGTGCTAAAAAAAATTGCTTTGAGTTACTCTAAACACATAAGCGCATGCACATGCATACAGACTTTTCTATATTCCTAACCAATTGCCTGATGTTTTGGTGACCTTTTATTTCTTTGCAGCTGTGTGATGCACATACCAATCAATTCTCAACTCATGGATTGATCAGATCTCCGTATCTAATATTGCCAAGAAACAAACACAATCATTCTATTCAAAATGACGTATTACATCTTGGTACACAGACTTAAAAATAGTTAATTAACCATATTCTTCCAACTGCATACCCAAGAGGCAGGGAATACATCCTTCCTAATACCATTTTGTAGCTCATAATCTCTTAGTTAATACCATCAGCAAATAAAACAGGTGAGATTACAAACAGTGAATCTTAATGCATTCTGAGGTAACGATTACCTTGGGATTAAAATATCTGCAGGACTGGGGCTGTGAGCCTCCAAACAAAGCAATGCGATAATCATGTTTTTTTCTTCTTGGCCGTGTGCCTTCCACTAACTCTTCTCGGTCTTCTGGGGAAAGGAGATGGTACCGCATCCCACCTGGAACAAAGACAACAACTGTTGCAGATCTAGTGTAGCTCACACATAGCAAGGGAGGTTTCAAAGGCAGGGACGGGGGAGAGAGGGAAGAGAAGGAAAAGAGAGAAACTAAGTTTCTATATTACACCTATATATAGCTTTGATTTAAAAGGGAAGAATAATGCACAGCAGCACATGAGGATAAGGGCATACATCCAGACTTACACCTTGTCTCAAACTGCCTGCTCCACACAATAAGGACATGGATATAGTCTCATGTTATATACCAACTGATCTATAGCTAATTTATACAATATTAACAAGCAATTAGGGGACCTCCAGAGAATGCAAAAATATTGGTGACATTACAAGCCACTAAAGCTACACAAAAATCCTTATTTCTTAAACAATGCATCCAACTCCATGTTACACAACAAGTATGACTGAGATGTCAAAGGTCAGCAAATACTTACCAACACATAGGTTAATTTGAATCTTGCTCATTGAATCTGAAGGAAAGCAGTTGTGTACTGTTTTTTAGATCTACACTAAAATGAAGCCAACTAGTTAACTGCTACTGAAATCAAAAATTTATTTCCAGAATATTTATTAACATCTAGGCTTTTCTTTCTTACATGACAAAATTTCACGAGTGGTATCTAAAAACAAAGGGGAAGCTTGTTCCCTATCTTATTTGCACCTTGAGAATGCAAATGTAGGATCAATCATTTTAGGATCAATGGCCAGTATATACTAGAGATAAAAATAGTGCAACATAGAGTTAACATTCTAATTTGCTTAGAGAAGCTTTATAATACTCAAAATTTTGACATGAAGTATTTCTTTTATTAATTCACATATGAGCATGAATGATATTGAAATTACTAGTGTGTCCCAAAGGCAGACTAACTTTCAATTACTCTAATGAGTCATTGACAAAATCTCCATTCCATTACTTCTCATGGAGTTCATGTCATTTGCTAGGAGAAAACAAATGAAAGTCACACTGTTACATAAGATAGGTTTTATTTACGTAATAATCTCCTAATCCAACTTCAACTAAAGGCAACATACTAGAGGGAACACAGTCAGATGGATTTAATGTGGATATGTTGTCAGAGCATTTAAAGCAAACAATCCTCAAAAATTCCACAACATCTTTTTAATTATACAGAACATTATAAAAGATTTCAGCTAGAGGTCACTTACTGATCACCATTTTAAGGCATTCTGGGTTATCCTGAATAAGTGGTTCAGCCTGAACTGTTTTACTTAGGAAGTTCTTTGATATCAGAGGAAATCGGACTTTAGCAAGAATATCAACCATGTACGGCTGGCGATTGGGCTCATCGTACTTCAGCCATCTGACTGCTGCGTCATAAACCTTAAACAAGAGAGATGGAAAGAAAAGAATAAGGTACATCACCATACAGTAAGACACATAACTGAACCCTAATGCTCTAAACTGGAGGTTAATTTGTAGTATCATTTTAGTATGAGTGGATCCATCGCCATCTTCCAGAAAAAACCCAACCCCCACCGCAACAAAACAGTTACTGAAACCCAAAAAAAGACAATGCTCAGACATGAAGTAAAACAAATACACAACCATAGAATAAAACTCATCTACAAATTTTAAAACTCCTACTACTTCTGCTATTTAACTTTTTTCCTCCAAATGGAAAACACGAATCTGCAATTCACATTTATGTGCGTAACTCCTGTACCAGGTTAAGTCTAGTATTTGAAGTTCAATGCCATAACATCAGTAATAATTCCTTAGAGCCTTCCCAAATCTTCGTTCGCGAAGCCTAGCCATGATGAGTAATAATTCCCCAGAAATGTTGAAATAGCTTCTACTTGATATGGTTTCCTAAGACGACAAACTGCTTCTGTTACCAAATCATCACGTTAGGGATCCAAATATATTGCTATTGTTGTGTCTCAGGGGACCATTTAAATCAAACTTTTTAGCTGCAGACTACTGTAAATTTATCAGAGGCCTCCTCTCTTTCTCCTCTTTACAGGAAAAGGTAATGGGTTTCCTAAAAGGGCAGTGAAGACAGAACAGGGAAAGTAATCATGAAATCTGCTCTATTTATGACTGTACCGCGAGACAGGAAGAAGTGAAACAAAAGTCTAGTATTATACATGAACTATGATACTCCCATGCTGCTCTCGGACACAGCAGGCTTTATCTAGTAGCACTGACTCTAAAGTGGCAGGATAACTTCATTACAAGCACAGCCAATACCTATGCCTGTAGCTGAAACTGGTCACAATAATCAGTAGTGAGTGACTGAGACATAACATGGAAAGAAACTTAATGGCAGAATTATTCAGAAGGACTACTAAACCACCCCAGCTATAATTTTGGAAAATTACCAGAGAATGAGGGAAAGTAGAGAAAAAAATACTTATGGTTCAATTCCATCAGCTAAGGAAATTCAACAGAATGACTGGGATGGAAACATTGTATAGGACAGGCAGTAATTATTGCCACCTTTCTTTTTGTACTAAATGCAAATATGCTTTACACCAATACAGACATTAGAGTACTATGTCAATTTTCTAGCAGTACTCATGAGAAATAAGATTCCTATAGTACCACTGGTAAACTTCTGTAGTTTCACACTGCACACTGCTAGTTTCCTAAAGGAATTGTAATGATGATGTACAATATGTTTTCTACCACTGCTGCCAGGTTAAAGCATGCCATCCTACCTTACCAACAGAACTTCAAGAACGTGAATTCCAAAGTGTCATTTTGGCTGCAAGCCAAACAACACTTCCAGCTCTGAGAATGTTACCCTGTGACGTGATTTTCATCCAGCACTCGGTAAGAATGTTGAACTGTGACATAGCTCATATTTATACTTCTAACCAGCCTACTACTATATTCAATGACCTGATATTATCCCCCACTCCCAGGAATTCTTATTTTCATAAAGTACATCACCACACTGTAAGACAAATAACTAAACCTTAATGCTCCAAATTGATTCTTCTGCCTGTTGGAGGTCAACATAAATGAAAACTTTATAGTCAGCAAAACATCCACTTCTAAGTGGACACACATACCATCTTGGCTACAAGATCTCTCTGTTGCACTTCAAAAGTATGAGTCAACTCATGATGCCATACCCAAAGAAAGTTAAATTAAATTAGATTTCAGTTTGTTTTCAACAGATTTGACTGAGAAACTACAAACATCCAGCAGCTACAAGTACTACCCAGCTGCTATGACCACCCTACAATCAACTTTTTGGGCTGCAGTGCAGACACCTATATGCTTCCTGTTTTCCTGCAGTAGGAAGAACAAGCTGGCAAACAGGCATTCAGGGCTGTGCTGTAAGCTGAATCAAGCATTCCAAGTAGGACAGTTGCAAATGTAATTTCTACCACAGCTTACAACTTTTAATTCAGTGAAACTCCAGGCTCCTTTCAGCGACCTAAACTTTTTTATGTCCGCTCCCTAAATAAGGGCCTTCCATCACTGCCAATGCATCTAGCTTTCAGTGTTTTGCTCATCTTGCTTCCAAGTCCCTCAGTTCCCCAGGCTTAACTTGTGTATGCATATGTTTCCATCAGAAGCAACTCCTCTCTAGAATAGGCCGAGACCATACTCAAGAGAAACATGCAGCCATTAAGGCCCAGTCTGCTCACACTTCGAAGCACATAAATCCCAATCTAGAAGCAACTGCTATGATACATCAAACTTAATTTAGCTCATATACTATGGAATCAGAAGCCCTATAGCTATCTCAATAAAGGAAACTTCTGCTAATTCCCTCTGTGACTTCTTTCTTCCTAGTTTGCTGAAACATATACATAAACCACACCTGAAACGTGAATATTTATTAAAATTTGATTTTGACCAAGCTAGAATGCATGTTTTATTCCACAATTTAGCAAGCACTACGTGCATCATATCCTCTAGGAACATCAGAAGTGAGATACTTGAATGTATGCAACAACTTCTTGATCAAAAAAAGATAGTGAAGTTCAGTGCTCTTAGCTGGTATGAAACGGGGATCTCACCTGGTCTTCTGCCCTCACAGTCAATGTATCTTGGTTCAGGAGGTGTGTCACACGCTTAACATCCAGCTGAAGAAACTCATCTGTCTTGTAAACTTCAGTGAAATGCTGATGGATGAAGTCATCTGCAGTGGCTTTCAGTTCTGGGCAGTCTAGGCATTCTGCTAGCACACTTATGCCTATGAAGTAAGAAAAAAACCCTTCCAAATTTGAACTGCAATTACCTTTAATATATTAAAATAGAGTATAATTACCGTAATTTCAGTGATACTTGCAACCCCAGTTTAATATTTATTACCATGTTTGTTTTCTTTTTTTAAACACATGCTATCATAACTCATCTGCAACTCAAGACAAACTAAGACAAGGACAAGCTGCTTATTCCTATCCCTTCCAAACTAATTGGAATGTCAGACTTGCAACATTTGCTGTATTAAGTATCTTTCCAGCACTATTTCCTCATGTTTCTTTCCCCATTATGAAGCTGACAACAGTACCTTAACCAACATGCCACAACAACAAAGTCTAACCAGAACAGCTTGAGAAACTGGATCCAGGTTTTATGACCTTCCCTGACCTGCTCATGCAGCATCAGTCACCAACCAAGCCCAATTTCCTTCAAGAGTCATGGTGAACTGTGACTTTTCTATAGAGGTAGCACAGTCAGCTGCAGACAACACAAAAAAGTCATGTCCATGTTGCTGGAAGGGCAGAATGTTGGCACAAAGTTATAAATAGCAACTGTTACTGAGAAGCACCATTGCCAGCCTTCCCACTAGAAACTACATAAGCACAGAGCTTTTCAGCAGGAACTCCTGCTCATCATGCTACAGCCTTCCTCCTTTTATGGAGGAGATGGCAAGTGTACTAGGAGTAACTCACTATCCCATGGGCTACAACTAGTCAGAGCTGCTCTAAGTAGTAAAATGCAAAGCAGAAAGATAAAATCCATGTGTATGACCTCTTGACAAAATTTCAAGAGATTCAAATTAAGCCATGGTCTCTTTCAAATCCATTTTTTTAATAAACCATGCATTTGCCTATAAGTCTGCACAGAATATGTTTCAACTTACAAACAATGCCTTAAGGAAAAAAATTATTTAATTTTTATCTCCCTTTTTGCTATAAATTAGCAACAAAGTATGCAAATGTTGGCATAATTGATTTTCCAGCTACATAAAAGCCACTCAAAGCAAGCCTAAGTGGCATTTTCCTTAGTAGATAATGCCTTTCTTCCAGCAGTTGTTTCAGAGCCACAGCTGTACTGCATCGAAGTGTCAGTTGAATCCGTAATTCAGACACTCTGCAAAACACTTCTATTGCTATTATAAACATCTGTAACATGCTTGAGCTGTTACTAGGAGAATTACCTAACAAATGTCAGTAAGAAACCCTAAAAAAAATTTTCTCTTTAATCTCTGATTAAATGAAGTGCACCAAATCTTAAGTATGAAAAAGTACTTAGTTCTACTTGTTTGCCTTTTATGTAACACCAAGTTCACATTACAGCTACAGAACATATTATATCAAACCTGCCCAGATGACATTCATGGATTTCAGTCAAAATGAAAAGTGAATAAAACCAAAAGTAACCTAAACTTATTCTGTTCATTCTTGTAGAAGATATGCTAGTTTTGTAAGTTACAAATCTGTCAAATTGTGTCTGCAAGTACAGTAACAACTGAAAGCTCCACCTTTTCAACTGTGGTTCTCTAACCAACAAGAAGCCCCAGTGTTCTGCCAAGCTGGATGAGATCTTGCACATTCAGTGGACCCTGTGGCAAGGGGAAACAGTTCAGATCCAGAGCAAAATTATTTTTATTTGCCTGGATTTAGCCAAACATTACTGTCTTTTAGACAATATTATCTACTTTTCAGGAACAGCAAATTTAAAAAATAAACAGTAAGTTTAAGTCTATTTCTCTTACCAAGACAATTGGAAGCATCAACTTGTTCTTTTAAAAAGTCCACACACATTTTTTTCACAGGTTCAATTTGATACTGGTTTGCTGCATCTAGTAAAGACTGGACATTATTGCTGTTAACTGAGATTCTGAAAAAGAGAAGGTATAAAATTAGCATCACTGAAATTACCTCATTTGCTGCAGTAAAAAAAAAAAAGCAACTTATGCCAATTCACAGAAATGGCAAAATTATTTCCCTGCTATATGCCCAAGAATCTTTCACACAGTCTGAAGACACAATCTCCCTTTACGATCTTTCCAAACTGCTTTCATTTGCTCTGCTTTACCGAGGCAGGGCAAAGGGTAACCAGTCCTGGGATCTGAAGAATAAGCCTGTAACACAGGTCCGCTGCAGTCCTATACTATTGCTTTGACTTGTGTGGTTAGACACTAACACAAAAAAACCCCAAAAAGACCTTTTTTGTGACAGTTTCCTACTCCCAAATAGATGTCAGCATCAGCAAACTGTGTCTAAACCACTGTCAGAACTGCCCTGGCTGATTTGCCCAGAGTTCATCAGCAGAACTAGTATGGCAGTGCTTCAAGAGAAGGTACAGAACCCACAGACTAGGGCTTGGGCACCAGGGCAGGCAACCATGTGGCTGGGGTGGGGTGTCTACACAGACTGTCTCTCACCACTCACAGAGTATACAAGAAGATTCCTCTTAAAAAAAAAAAAAGAGAAAGCCTCCCTAATGAGAGCTAATCCCATTAGTACAAAGATGAAAGGCCTGCCATCCATAGATCTAATTAAAGCTGATTAAGTACTGTTTACAATCCTCACCATCTGTAGGAGCTCTGTTTGGGGGAAAAAAACAAACAATCCACAAAAAATCCCAAACACACCGACAACCTGAGATAGGAGGGAACTGCTGTCCACAGAACAGTTACCCACACTGCCTGTTTTGAGATGAAGGTATAACTCCTGGAAATGGTTCCATGCCATAGCTACCATGGCCACAAAGAGAGACTGTGCTGACAACAATAAAGGCCTGAATTTCAGAACAGTGGGAAATATCATTTGACTCTAACACTGAAGTCAAAAGCTTGAAGTGCTTTGAATTGCTTTCTGGAGACAAATACCGTTCTCTTTGGTCTGTAGACCTTCCTACTCATTACAAAGGAAAACGGAGGAAGGATAGAAGGTCTAGTCACATCAGGCTTTAAACAAAGAAAAGAACTCTAATAGTAACAAAATTGATGAATCACAAAAGCATTATTTTAAGATTTTATCATTTACAATTGCCAAGCTTCCTAGAAAAAGTGTAAGCTTTAATAACAAAACTACCTTGCGGTATAAGCAAACTCCACAAGCTGTTCAATAATGTCAGGCTCTGCATCTTTTAGCTCCACTTCAAAGGACTTTGATTCAATCATATTTGCTGCAAATAGATTAAAAAACAAACTTTTAATCAATAAAGCCACTCCAGTTATTGTATGTTTTGCAAACAGTAGAAAATAAAGTGATTATACAAAGTGAGAACCTGCTAAAAACAGCACACAGTTGATTGCTGTTTTCCCAGGGTTACTAACGCAAGTCAGGAAAGAAAGGAGGCAGTGGAACAAACAAGATCACTGGTGTGTGTACATGCTTGTATTAGGTAAATTATGATAACTGTATTAAATAGAAAAGGTCATAGATGTCATTGACTGCAGCACAGATTGCCAAGGTAGCATTACCAAAACCAGGAAGCACACGTTGCACTATCAAAAGCCATTTCCACATTCAAGCTGAGTTTAGGAATAGATACATTTCCAGAAGAATTTGTAACGGAAAGTTAGAACTCCTTTCGCTAGGAAGGCTTTCTGCCTAAACGGTAACTTTCTCAAAGGCAGTTTCAATGCTTTCCCCCCCCTTCCCATAGCAAGAGAAGCTCTCAGCCTTGCTCTCTGGTATGCAGAGAGATAACATGTTTGCAGACATGTACAAGGCCTCCTTGGGCCAGAGAGAGTGTGAGGGAGGAGAGAGAGAAGATACAAAAAGCCTTGGAGGAGGCGGGGCTTTGCCTTTTGCCCCTGGAGGCCTGATGTGTGCAACATCATAAAAAAAGTGGTCCTTGCATCTGAAATAAACCTTTTTTTTAAATCCTTCCACTGCCTTTGCATTCTTGGGAAGAATACTTGTTACCCTGATAACAATGGAGACAGCTCCAAGCTTCACACACACAGGCACAGCACTAAGCTTGCCCACAGATGGTTACCAGCTGACCACTGGAAGGCATGGTTATTTTACTTCTACTTGACTTTGATTTCACAGTAATTTTACAATTAATGGGTAAGGCATACAAAAGATAAGATACCATGCGACAGAATTTTTAAAGAGAGCATAAAAACAAGTATTACAGAATTACAGAATCACTGAGGTTGGAAAAGACCTCTAAGATCATTGAGTTCAACATTAAACCATGTTCCTAATCTCTGAAAGCCTGTCTTATATGCAGAAGTGCCTAATGGTGGGAAGCAACCGGGCAGACAAATTCTGTCATGGGAGCAAAACCTCACAGTTTTCAGGTTAAGGGAAGGGGATCGACTCTAATAGAGAGTGTGGGCCCCAATTATTAAGAGAGCTTACATATGAAGTAACACTTGACTTGATCAAAAGAGTGTTCAAGGGAAAATGAGGGGAGGGGTGAACAGAGATGAATGAAAGGACAGAAAGTGAGAAATCTTCATTTATACTTATCCCTCAACTTAATCACTTTCATAAAATAAAAACTTGTCAGCCACAAATCTAGCAGGACATAATTATAAAAGTTTAAAATCAATCAATTTCAAAAGACTTACTAGTAAACATCAAGTTAAAAAAATGACTGGCTGAAGCAAGCACAACACGGTGAGCTGGGATCTTTCTTTCTTGAACCATAAGAATGACATCACAGAGAGTTTTCTAAATCAGAGGAAAAAAACAGACAAAAACCACAAAAATCAGCATTTTTTAAAATATTTGAGCAATATTTCTTTAAGAACAACCTATGGAAATTCATTGATTTTTGTAACCCACACAACTCAAGAGCATTATGTGATAAAAAGGTTTTCTGAAAGTCAAAGTTCAGTAAACCTGGAGAACTATCAAAGGTCAGTTTAGCCCTGAATTTGTACCTTAAGAATGGCCACAAATAACTTATGAACTCTGATTATAGTTTTTCCTGTGGCATTTACATCAGCCTCCAAAAACGTAGGTTCTGCAGCATCTGGCAGGGGCTGCACTCTTTACATCTCTCAGTCACTTTCCTCTACTCTGCTGCTGATTTTCAAGAAAATTCACAGAAATCTCATATCGGAAGGCTGTCATCATATTGCCCAACTGGAGTGAAAGTTACGAATGAGTTAAAAGCATTCAACGGAACATTTTAAAGAAAATGTATCTGAAAAATACCACTTCTGTGGAAGGGTTTGACTGGTCATACCTGAAGAGCAACTAGCATCCAGACAAAAAAATAATTTCTTTCTCATTTGTTTGCTATCTATATGTAGGCAGCTAGTTTCTCCCCTACATGTGAACTGTCATGCACTAGAAGGAGAAAGGAAAGCGACAGAACTTATAAAAGTTGTCAGAAGAGGTGAGAGGAGAGTAAGGGACTGGGGTAAAAACACGTAATTTGAATAGATTCTGAAATGGTATCCTTTCTAAGAACATACTGACTGAAATAAATGCATATGATACTGCAGTTAATTATAACAGACTCTCTATTAAGAAAGAAAAACCAAGCTGCACCGCTTCCTCAAAATACAGGAATTCATTTTTGACTACTACCTTAAGTTCATGGATCTACCTTCAGAAACACCTACCTACAGTCATCCCAATGCTAAACTCGAAAAAGAATGCTTCTACTGTGGGTAATATATACATGCTTAGACCTGTGTCAATGTTTTCCATGTAGAGACAATATTATCTAGGGCCCAGGTCAAGAGGTTGATAACCCACATGTACAGTCCCTTCAAATATGTCTGTCTTCTTAGTTTTTTTAAGGACATTCAGAAGCAAATGTTGGACAAAATATAAATAATACGTTTCAAAGATATTATTTAAATGAAAGTTAGATGGGGGTGACATACAGCTTCCTTTGTACATCTGTAGCTTTAAACTATATAGGACTGAAACAACAAAAGAGACCATTCTGGAAAAATTTCAGAGAAATCCTTTAAACCTGAAATTCCTAGCACTTCTGGTTCAAAACAAGCATCAGAAATTAACAGTATAAGGTACCATAAAATCCTTTGGCCAAGCTTTGCCAAGACATGCAACTGTTGCTTGAGCTCCACACTGCATTTGTAAGACACATTTAATGCCTCAGCTCAGCTTTAGAAGCACCTCAGATGTTCTAAGGCTTCTGTGAGTGCATTTGCCAACCAAAACAGACCATCATTTTAATTTCTTTCCCTGGGATGTTTCTAGGTGTGACTATTCCATTTCAACTAATGCTCTTCGAAGGATTTCTGCGCTTCTTTCCAGAAGAATCCATTGTTGTCACTGGGTCGCCTCCATGATGCAACCAGTGACTGGTGTTAACCAAAGGACACACCCCAACCTGAGCTTCTGCAGGGCATTTCACCTTCCAAGTAACAGGTTCAGCAACACCTTACAGCTCTATCCCAGCTTCATTTCCAATGACTCTTTCTTGGCTGACCTCCACTCAGCTGCAAAGTTGCAACAAAGGCTTTACGCACATGCTGTCCAATAGTTCTGTAAACCCACAAAAATGTGGGCCGTCATGTGTTGGAGATCAGCAACAAGTCCTCCTGCACTAAACACACTTGGCCCCAACACCTCACCTGTACTGAGTGCAGGTATGGCCATGGTTTACTCTAAACACCCGTACTCATGGAGGCTGCCTCTTGATCTCAGCTCACACAAAAAGCAGCCTCTTCAGAATTAGCTCTACTTTCCTGTCAGCACATCTTCCTACAGCATTAAACTACTGCAGATAAATATCTAGTGTTCCACATGCATGTTGACATTTCCATCACAAGAAATTTTTAACTCATATTCAGGCTTTATAACCACAGCATAGTTCTTGACTTATCAAAATACAAGAAAGAGCTGCCTGTAAATCCTCTTTAACTTTAGCACAACTAATCAGCTGAAACCAGAATATTTTTCCTCTGGCTCCTGCTGACTTCCTAATTTTATCCTACATAATCACACCTCCCCCTGTCCCCTCAATAATAGTTAACCTCCTCTTACAAACAACTCCTAAAAGAAACACAAGTGTCATGAAATATGCAAGAATTTCTGGAGCAGTCAGCATTGGGTGGGATATGCAAAGCCACCATCTGAGGTCAGATAAGAAGTTTTCATGCAAAATTCAGTGCTGTATCTCCCTGGGCATAACAGAGTTTGAAATCTGAATCACAAGTACACACAGATTTCACAGCACTTAATCCTGATGCTCTCGCTCCATGTGTTTTAGAGTAAGTCGTAGCTACATGAGAGTTGCACTTTACTACACTGAAAGATGAGGTACTTACCCAGAATGACAATGTGGTGCCACATAGTGGAACAGGGACATGGTAAAGCACGAATTCCCTGTGCTGGGGACTGTACACACATCTAAGGGAGGGCAATATTTCTTCTATCTACTTAAAAATCATAGCAGCATCTGACATCCCCTTTTAAACAGTGACAGAGGTATGAGCTGAACACTGATGAACTAAGTTATGAGCTCAGCCACACCTTGGGATATGTTTACGCGATTAGATCGGAAACAAGGCCTACATCAAAAAAGTAGATCCCAGGCTTCAAGTCTTTACTTTGCTACCTGAAGTCACAGAAAACAATATTGTTTTTCATATATAGGAGCTTAGTTCCATGAAACGGTTTATACAGACAACATAATTGACTGTGCTTTAGTGAGAGAAGAACAGGGCTGAAGCGCTGGAGAAAAACAGAACCAACACTGGTATCACTTCTGAGGCCAGGACCCAGACAGCATTAAAAGCTGGACCGAGTCTCTGGCAAGATTAACAGTGGAGGACAAGCATCTAAACTGCAGAAGATACAACACATGACAGTGCCAAGTATGAAGCCCCCACATGTTCTGCCTTCAGAGGTAGCTTTTATTCTGGCTCCACATCACTGTGTTTGAATGAATCAAAGTTCCACAATCAAGCTAGCTCCTCCAAAGAGAAGAAAGGTTTCTTCATATGCAAGGAGTTATATGGATTATCCGTCTGCTCTTGTATCAGAAATTTAAGCTTTTTTTATAAAGAAGAATAATTTAAAACCAAACATTTCTTTTAGTTTTAACAGCTCAACTGAAATGCACTTGCACAATTGTAATTTTGGTTACTACTCTTGCTCTACTGGTAAACAGAGGAGTCACCTTTAATAATCATTGGACTATTGACCAAGAAAGCTGATCAGCCCAAAACGTCAGAATTTGAGGCCAGATGAGGCCACCAGACTCCTACAGTGCCACTGACCTCCCAGTAAGATGGCCAGAGGCATTCAAGAACAAATGCTACCCGTGAAACCAAACCATGGTTACAGTCATCCCTCTCCTCCCGTTACAGTTTCACTGTTCACGGGGACACAGCCAGTTCGTTCAGAGAGGAATCCTGGTTAAAAATTCCACATCACCACTTTTTTACTACCCTTAGGCTTCCGTTCGAAAAGGGCACTGTGAATGCTCCAGGTGAAGACACTGGGCCATCACTCGCAGCCTCACTCCTGCCCTACCACAGGCAAGGCGTTATCAGACAAGGAAAAGCGGCTCCACGGCGTCCTCTGCCTCCAGCGCCCACAATGAGCCCACGCAAGGGAAATCGGAGCTCGCTACTCTCGCTGTGCGGCTGCCAGACACCCTGGGCCTCCCGCGGTGCCACGTTCGGTGGGTCATTCACCGCATCGCGCTCCAGGGACGAAAAGCCCACGGAAGCCCACGCGCGGGAGCTGGATCGGGATGTGCCTGCAGGGCAGGAAGCGGCCCCGCGGGGCTGGGACTCACCCTGGCGAGCGCCCCCCGTACCTGCTTGCGCATGGTGTTCATGACGCCCATGAAGCTGGCGAGCAGCTTCGCCTCCTCGCGGGCCGCGAGTTTCTTCTCCGTCTTCTTCTTGCTGCTCTTCTCCGACCCGGGCGCGGCCATGCTCGCCCGCGCTCACCGCCGGCGCGCCGCCCCCGCCCGCGAACATGCGTCCGCCGGCTGCCGGGCGGCGAACAGAGGCTCCCCCCGCTCGGTGCCGGGGAGGCCGGCGGCGGAGGGAGGCACGGAAGCAGGGACAGGGACGGGAACGGGGACGCGGGCACGCGGGGACGCGGGCACGCGCAGTGCCCCCGCAGCGCCGCTGTGCCCGCGGCAGACGCGGCCAGGGGCGGGGCTTGGCGCGATGACGCTCTCGGCCGGCGCGCGGCCCCCACGCGGGGTAAACAAAGAGCGGGGCGGGGCTCGGGCGCGTTACGTGACGAGCGGAGAGCAGCGCATGCGCAGTGCTGGGACCGGCCCGGGGCTGTTCCGGGGGGCGTGGTCGTCTTTGTGGTGGTTGCTGGGGGCGTGGTCACGCCAGGGACACGCCCACGGGGGCGGGGCGCGGCTCCCATGGGGGCGGGGCATTGGCGTGGCGTGGCCAGGCGCTCGAGGGGGCGTGGCCTCGGCTCGTTCCGGTTGGTGTCAGAGGGCTCCTTCCCGGGAATTCCCATCCCTGCCAATGAGAAGCGCGCCCCGAGGTTCCCGGTTCTGGGCGTGCTTGTAGAGATAGTGCCATGCCAAGCGCGCAGGGGAAGTTGAAGCTGCCCTGCCCAAGGGGCTGGCGGGGCTTTCGCTGCCCGTATGTGTGAGCAAGGGGCGCGTGGTTCCTGCTGCTCCCGCTGGAGGGACCCCCTCCCGCCTTGGCGACGTGCGTGTCCCGGGCTCGCGTGGGCTGGGAAAGGAAACAAACGTGACCCAGAGGTAAACCACGTTCTCTTGACAGCTGCACTCACCCCTCTTCCAGAAATAATGCCATGGACAAAATATTTGGTGCTTTGATCCTCGTTCTATGAATAGGATTGTGACAATCAAAGCTGTGTTTCAGTGTGAGTTTGCTGTTTGTGCATTTGTGTGATGTTTCCAATTTTAATTCCACAGATAAGAAGGTGTTGAACAACTTCATGCCATAACTTGGAGGGAGAGAGATTCGTGCAGAAATAACATGAGGTTATTTTATTAATTTTCTCAAATTCCTTTTATTAATAAAACGAATGAGCCGCTTTGTTCCTGATATCACATCTCATATGGTAAGCCTTAATAAGATGAACTTTGTGCTGTAATAGTCTGTGGTTCTGCTATCCGACAGTTATTACTACATGGAAGTTGTAACAACTTTGATGTATTTGACATTTGTTTTGTTGAAATAAACAGACAGACACAGCTATCACTTGACTTACCAAATTTTATCATATTACAGTATGAAAATGAGAAATCTACGCCTCTCTTGCCAAAGTGATAGCCTGAGAAAACCCAGAATGTACATCTGGGCAATTTCAGATTTCACAGTATAAAGAATTTACCTATAGAGTTTTAATTTCATCTTGAGGGCAATCATAAGATGGCTTTTTTTGCATGGGATACACAGAAATAGCTGTGCTGGATCCCTGAGTGCACTTCCCTGTTCTGGGAGGTTAGTTGGCTGAGTTAAGGAGTTCAGCTTGTTGTGTCCAAGGTCAGCTCCTTTGCTGATGAGTGCTGTGGTGAGGAAAGCTAAAAGCAAGTCTCTGTCCTTCCTTTCTCTGGGGAGCTGCTTTTAAGCAGAGAATTTACTGCTGGTTCCTGCTGCGCTGGTAGACACCACATGAGCACTTCCAAACACTGATAGCACTCAGTGTGGTACCTTCCTTCGTACTGCTCTGTGCCTAGGGTGGGCAGTGTTACCTGACCTAAAGATTAGCATTAATGTATAGCATTAGTCATACAGCATAGTAGCATCAGTCATAGCAGTTGTGGAGATGTCCAGGAAGTTGCCTGTAACACAGGCAGGCAGGTAACATGATATCTGTATCCAGACCAGGCTCAAATGAGGGGTCAGCCATACCCAAATTCTGTGAGCAGCTGCACTGAGATTTGACACTGAGGGCAACCTGTGATGCAGAGAACCTCTCTACTCCCTAAGGGGCAACATACCACAAAGCCGGTTTCTTTCATGAAATTTTCACTATTTCAGACCACAGTACGAGCTGCACAGCTTGTGAGGGATCAAGCCAGCTGCTCCGAAAGGGATTTTGAGGGGGGAGCAAAGCATGATCCCAAAGCAGGTAGGAGCAGTTGCCTTATCAACAAAGAGGTGGCATGCTGTGCAAGAGAGGTCTAGATTTACTTTAAATTAAAATGCTTTTAAGGTAAAATGTCAATTTATATGAGGTAAGATTCTATATTCCTGTTTGACCAAAACCAGCTGTTTTGTGTGTGTGTACATATAGAATCACAGAATCATAGAGTGGCTTGGGTTGGAGGGAACCTTAAAGATCATCTAGTCCCAACCCCCCTGCCATGGGTCGGGACACCTTTCACTAGACCAGGTTGTTCAGAGTCCCATCCAACCTGGCCTTGAGCACTGCCAGGGATGGTGCATCCACAACCTCCCTGGAAAACACGTTCTGGTATCTCACCACCCTCACAGTAAAGAATTTCTTCCTAATATCTAACCTAAATTTCCCCTCTTTCAATTTGTACCCATTACCTCTTGTCCTATCATGAAGAGTCCCTTTCGAGCTTCTCTGCAGGCCTCTCTCAGACACTGAAAGGCTGCTATGAGGTCTCCACGCAACCTTCTCTTCTCCAGGCTGAACAGCCCAAACTTTCTCAGCCTGTCTTCAAAGGGGAGGTGCTCGAGTCCTCCTGTCAACTTGGTGGCCCTCCTCTGGACTTGCTCCAACAGTTCCATGTCTTTGTTATGTTGGGATACATGTGCATGCATGTGCTGCCATGTGTAATTAAACAAAGCCATACAGGGAGAACATGCCAAGATTAAAAAAAAAAAACCAAAAACAAACCCCAAACATATAGAGGTCCTAGATTTCAGGTCCAAGAAATTAGAAGCTTGAAGGGATGGCAGAAAACACTGTAATCTCAGAGACAGAAATCTCTTATTCAAAATTTCAAGATAAGGATTGGAAAGAAGGGTCAGCTCCTTGTGAAATCTGAGAAATTAAATTAAAATAATTTAAATGAATAGGAAGTTAAACAGATTTTATACAAATGAAAGCATCATAATGTACCATGTCTCTTCTAAGCACATTATTATTCTCAAAGCACTCTACAAACACTTATAGTTTAATGATATTTTATCCCTCAATTCACAAAGTGAGGTTAAAATTAAAAATAGAAAAGGATTATGCTCTGAAGCTCACGACAGGAAAACTATTGGCCTGGCACAAACAATATCATATTCATTGTGGTTTCAAAAATGTATCAAATTACATTTTAAGCCATCAGCTAATGCTACTAAACAGACTGGTGCAAGATAGATAGCTATCCTGAAATGTTTAGTGAATTTGTTTGTTTGATCCAATAATCTCTAATCCGTACTGTGGTAGAGATCTTTCAATCAAGAAGCCGAGGTAATAAGCATGTTGTGCTGATATATAGAAGATTAGCAAGGCCTGATTTCACAGTATGGATTCAGAATGACACAGAGTAACTTCTTCAGCTCTTTATGCTAGCCTGGCACTGAAAATTAGAATATTTACAGCATCCTTTTCTCTCAGGAGTGCACATGCTTCTTTGGGCAGGAGGAATGCTTTTCAGTTACTTTGGCATTAGTAATTTGTTATATACTGCCTACAAATGCTAGTAGTTCACCTACGCCTTGGTTTTTTTTCCAGTTCACAAAGTAACACAAGATGTAGAAGTTCTGAATGTGAATGCATGTGATATCTCATTATGTTGTCCCAAAATACGTACTTTCACCCAGTGTGCAAGAGATCAATCCACACACAGAGGAGAAGTATTTGATTTATTTACTGTTCTGCACAGAAAGTGGTGCTGGGTGGCAAATCCACAAAGTCAGTATGACTACCAAAACTTTTGACTTTTTATACATTTTAGCAAACAAACATTTTAGCAATAATATTCATTGGCTACAAGCTAACTAGTTCTTTGATTAATTAGTATTCTATCTTCTACTGGTAAATGGTCTCTCAATTCTCATGCTAGTTATTCCGTGTACTCAGTCTTTCTCTTCTTTTCGGTTGGTGGGTTTCAGGGGTCAGCGGTCACGATCTCCCCTGCCAGAATTGCCTTTTACCCAGTTGGAGCTGATTTCAGTACAGTTGCTAAGTTGTCTTTTTAGTTTTTTCCTTATCTTGGGAGTTCTGCCAAATGTCCCTATGGCTTGTAGATTCTGCATTCTTTGTGTGTGCTATCAGTGGCACTTCCTTCTCCCCAGGCTTTGTTAACCTCCCCCTAGGTCTGAGATCACTGAAGCATGTCAGGCCCTAAACTTTAACAAGGCAATTCTACCAACAAATAATTTAGCCTTCTAATACATGGACATCAATTATGTCACAATGATATGGACGTGGTATGGAATCTGCAGCTACCCCGTGGATTCATCTGTCATTCCAGTTTTGTGTCTTTTTTCCGAGCCTGGGTCTAGTAACCCATCTCCACATGCCACTTATTCATTCAGATGAAGCAACTGCTCTCAAGTCCTCCCCCTTCTTTCCTTTCCCATCATCTTGTCCACAGTGCCTCTGCCTTTTGTGGGCAACATGTATGTGTTTGAGAAGATGAGGAGAATTGTCGGTCCTAGTAGGAACTTGAGTGAGAAGGGGAGGGTTGTGCTGGATGTAGTGAACATTTTGTGTGAACTTGCAGTGCTGCTTTTGCCCTGAAAGGAAGACTGCCAAGGGAATGCTGCACTCTTCCCACAGAGATCAGGAAAAATCCCTCTTTCCCACGCTAAGCCACCTCTCTTCAAAAGCACAGTGATCCTCTCTGAAAGATTTCATTCTATTATGACACTTAGCAGTGCTATGATCCTATTTCTGGCAGTACTGTAGCTAGAGTCTCAAATGCCTTCGGTCAGCTTTTGTGGCCAGTCGGGTGCCCTCTACTCATGCCAGCATGGAGGACTGATGGGTGCAAGCAGTGCTGCTGTCATGGGCAGAGCCAACAACCAGGTAAAGCAATGAAATCAAATAGGAACCTCTGAATTGCGATCGGTAACAGGCTTCATTCAGAGTACGATGACTGAAAAGGAGCTGGTACATTCGGCATGAGATCTCTCAGATGAGGCCCTAATTATACATTTAGCACTGGATTAGTGGAAATAGTACATCAAAGAAGAAAATAGATGCTTAGTTGGGACAGTATTAAACCAGGGATTGTCAGCAAGTTTAACTTTTTGAAGTGAACTTCCTGAGGGTCTCAGGTATATTTCTAACAAGGTGGCAAAATACTTTCCAAATCGTAATGTTTCTGATTCTTTTCATCTTAACCCATCACAGTTTTGTTTTTTTTTTTTTTTTTTTAAAAACCGACTTTAAGGCTGTTCTTTGTTTGTCCCAGGCCAATCCTTTTTTTTTTTTCTCCATATAGCTACATACAGGACTTTATACTGTGTTATGCCAGAAGGAGCACCAGGCCAAGCTGATGCTCACAGGAGACATAAACTTCATGGAGAAAATGGGCTTATCACCACACTACCAGGGTGCCTTACTGTATACGTTAGATAGATCAAAGGTTTATTTCCTTGTACTCCCAAAAGCAGTAGGAGAGCTTAGGCTTCCTGAAAATAATATTCTGGTTTTGACCAGTACATTTGTAGCTGTTGCTGGTCTTTTCAGGATCATGCTCTTATTCGGTGCCAGCAAAATCTTGAGCAAGGACGTCTTGTCCCACTGGGCCGTGCTAGAGCACAAGGGAAATTTGATCTGAACCATTTCCTCGTGTTTGAAGTATTTCCAGGATACTCTCTCCTGTACAGTTTACTAGAGGTCCTTCTGATTTTTTTGCTTGGAGAGTTGTTTAACATCTTGAATTGACTCACCACTTGTTTCTAAAGTCCAAGTATCCTTTTCTCATGGTTTTATTTCCCTTTTCTTAATGAAATTGTTCCTTTTTTTTCCTCTGAAGTTTTAGATTTTTGCCCTCAGTGCTAATGAAAGGAAAAATCTCGTTTTCTTACCATGCTGTGAACTCTGTCTTACAACATCCCATGGCATCCCAAATTTTCTGGGGAAGAGAAACTAAGATGGGTTTACACTTTATTTGCTTATTCATGATTTAAGGAAGGGCCTTTTTTCCTTTTTGCTTTAAAGATTAAGGTCTCATTTTAAAACCTGGACCAAGAAATAATTTACACTTGAAGCCCCAACTGGCAAAGTGATTCTTTTTCACTGTATGTACTGTGTAATTGTTACTGCTTGTTCATCCAAGCAGTAATGCTTATCTCAAAGCAGCACATTTGTGCTGGGGAGCAGGAAGAGTGGGGCTGCCCCAGGAGGGAGCAGGCTGTGGAGGACACCCCAGCATGGCACGAGTGCCCTCTTGGGCAGGGTGCTGCCGCCCACATCCGAACAGGGCCAGGGTGTTGACAGGACCTGCTGGTGGTCCAGTGGTCATCAGAGGAGGTGAGGTGACAAGGAGCTCCAGTCCCTAGGCGGCCAGCAGGTGTCCTGGGCAAGGGTGGTCAGGGCACTGCAGCCTGCACAGGAACTCAGGGCTCCTATGGTTTGAATGTGGGAAGTTGTTCCAGCAAGACAATACCTAACATATTTGGTTTTGAAAGCGTACCTCCTGCATTCACCCGACCTGAACTTCATGCTATTTAATTGCACTGTTGTTGTAATATAACTCCTCTGTATTTCAGTGGTCAGGCTTGGGACGTGATGGGCTGAGGAGCAAGTGCAGCTTTGTCCTGGCAACCAGGCTGGGACGTGCCTTTTGTCAAGCAGTGGTCCTTTTTCATTCCAGAACTTCCATTTTAGCTTGTTGTGGAATGATTTATCACCAGAGCCAGCCAAAGGAGGTAACTGTGACAAATGAATACTCTGAAAACAATCTCTTTCTGGGATCAGGTAAAGTAAACAAAATACGGAAAGCAGAGGATTCCCTGTATCCCTATTTGGCTGACCCCAGCCAGCAGGTGGGATGAAGTGAATTCTGCCACAAGAGGTGTTGCACAAAGTCATTAACATCTGTTGTAGGCTGAATGTACCTCCTGGGCTTTGCTAATGTTTGGAAGTAATTCCAGATCTTTTCCTTCATTTAGCTTCTTTGCTCTGAAGAACAATAAATATTTTGGCTGTCTACAATGATTCTTATCCACTTCTCTGCCCTTTTTTCAAGGAAAAAAATAATATTTGATGTGTCTTCAAGCCAATTCAGTAATTGCTGTAGCAGAGGTTGCAACAACATAGAGGTAGAGCAGCTGAACATAGCAAGCCTGTCTAAAGTATAAGGATTTGAGGTTGGCTTTGCTGTCTGTCGGTAGCACAGGCTCCTGCCCTCTGGAGCTGACCTGTGGGAGCTTGCCAGCAGCTGGGCCAGAGGAGCCTGAACCTGCTGACAAATTTCTGGATGCTGCAAAAGTCCTAGTCTTCCTTGCCCATGAGAAGGAAAAGCAAGCAGCCCTAGCAAGGGAGATTTTTGTAGCAAGGTCATAATAAACATAGGATTAAAAAAAAAAGAAATGTACAGGGGAATGAACTAAAAAAAACAAAGTGCCCTTCTTGATTTTATTGCTTAAAGTTATTGGGCATCAATTTGATGAACATTTAAATATGCATTCTTTTTAGTTATTTTGAAATACCATAACCTAAAAGAGACAACATATTGCCTTGTCTTCTTTCAGCATGTTCTGCCCTTCTGCATGTTCAAACAACCAGAGGCCCGCCAAGAGCTGTCCTGTCCTCTTGGGAACTAGTCTTTTCTTGGGAGAAACCTATCAGGAAAAGTATTATTTACATTTAAATAGCTTCTGTTAAGGATGGCTCTCAGTGTTAATAAATCCTCTTGCTAAATATGGGAATTCAGGCAGTATGTGCTTAAGTGTCTGAACTTGTTTAAGCTCACAGTAGGTTAGCCCCCAAGCTGGAAACCAGATCAGAGAGTAGTAGAACTATTTGTGCCCAAGTCCAAATCGATGGTTAAAACTGCTGCCTTGTGTTACAGAGACCATCAGTCTCTCCACAACTAAGGCTCCATCAATTCAGATTTGTTTTCAGCCAAATAATAAACATTCTGAGAAAAATCTGTATTTGAACTCTTTCAATGTGGCTAGTTTCAACATGAATTTATAACTGAGTATCTTAATCTTATTTGTATTTTAATTTTTTAAAATAGGAAATATAGGACAATGTAGAAACAATGAAGATGGGGACTGAATTTATCTGAGTTTATCTTTGTCTCTGTGAGCTTTACCCACAGATAAACTGAGATACAGAAAAGAAGTGTAACAATAACACTTGAGCAAAGTTTATGTCATCTCACCTACAAATGACAGCTAGCAAAACAGAAAAGTTGGTATCAGCTGTTCCAGTTCAAAGCTTTTACAGATTTCTCAAGGCACACAAGGGGTATTCCTCAGACCCTTCTACTTGAACAAGCCAATTAACTGTTTCTTGATCAAAGACCAAAAGAAAAAAGAAGGCAGGATTGCCCTCATATAGCAAAAACTCCTAGCAGGGCACTGTGAGGGAACACGATTCAGGATGGAACAGTTCCGGGCGTGGAGAGAAGCGTGCAGCGATTGGCAGGACTTTGTCGTGTGGACTTTGCTGTTATTATGTGGTTTCATTGTATTCACACTGCACAGTACACAGCCTGGACAAGCCGAGGCTTGCCATGAGTTTGCCCCCGCTCCTCCCCCTTTTGCCGGTGTCCCTATGCTGGTTTGTCCCTCTGCTTGTTGGTCTCATGCTCCACCCTATGTTCTGGCCCGTTCTGCTCCCGAGCGGATAAAAAGAGAGTGGGCACGCCTGAATAGGGAACTCTGCTTGCATCCTTCCTTGTGTCCCGTCCCCTCTTCGGACCGCGAAGGCACAAATTTATTTTTTTTTGGTAGCAGCACAATAGAAAATAGCAGAACTGCCTTCATAGTCATGTTGGATCATTTAAAGGAACTCACAGCGTTTATGCCCCAACAATACCTTTGATGATAGTTCTGTATATGTGTTTTTAAACAAATCATATTTTTCCATTCCAAATGCTGCCTGGAATGGGATGCCTTCAAGGAAACATTATGTGAGTCATCCTCAAGAGACATGCAATTGAGGCACCTCCTTTGGAACAAAGTCATCTACATCCATCTAAAATATCCAATTATAAACAGTATTGTTACTCACATAATTGCTCAACGGCCTTAGAAGCAATCTGTTTTTTTATGACAGTAAGAATTAATGGTGAGTTGTTGATGCTAAAGTTAGAATAACATCACACAAAGATTAAAATGTCATTTCAGTGATAGTTTATTCTGGATTATGTTAAGAAATACGAGCTCGTGATCATTTAAGACTCATAAAACTTCTACTCCTTGTTTAACACTTGTTTGAATGTCTGAATGTAAAAAATACTTTCTGAGGCTTAATTCATGTGGGAAGCTCAGGGCAGATGAAGAACTCACTGTGGATTTGTGGAGTAAGATAACACTCACAAACTTGTGCGAATTGTTGGGTTTATTTTCTGTGTACCTTTCTGTATTATGAAAATATTATTATAGAACAGATTTTCACAAATTCCCAGTCATACGTGGGCTTAATGCTGGCTGTGTTTCTCAACCCCTTGGCTCTAGTTTTGAGTTCTCCCATTCCAAGAGGTATGGAAGAATTACTGCAAAGAGAGAAAGGTTTGAGAAGAGGTAAGTATATACCGTGCTCATTGCAAGTGAGGGATAGAGGGTCTCACAAAATACGAACAAATGGTACACCTTAATTATAAGGAGAAAAAGCATTTTATGCGACCTGATGCATGAATTCAGAGACTATGTAATCCTTACCTGCAGCCAGCAGGCCCCTGTTCAGTTGTAATACTTTCTTTCTGTTGTTGTTATTCCATCCTACTGCTAGAATAGGTCATGTTGCTCTCGTCATTCCTGGGATAGCATGGATGTGCCATATGGAGCTAGCACAAGAGTAAATGATAAGCTGAACTTCACACACTCTCCAGAGAACTGATAGGGCCCAGGATGAATAATATGGGCTGTAGAAGGAAATCCAGAAAACACTGGTTAGTTAGGAAAGGCACTACACAGACAAACCCTGTCATTTCGGCATTTACTTAAAGAAAATTAAATACCTAGCCCCTCTAACTCATCTCTTCCCACAGGGCTGAGTTTTTTGCAGGTTTTCCACAGCACAGATGTGGGAGACCTTGAGAGCCTGGGAGTAGCCTGGACTCTGAATGACAGCTGGAGGAGTAGTGATCCTTGGTGTTAGTAATGCATATGCTATTGGGAGTAACTAGGTTTGAGGAATCATGTTAGAATGACACTGATGTATTTGTCACATTCATTTGCACATTTATTTTGTGGGTAGGAAGAAGCTGGTTTTGAAAGAAACAACTAATGATAATTAAAAGAAGCTATTCTGCAGTCGATTGTAACTGCTTTATGGAACAATCATGAGGATTGATGGATTGCCATCTTTCACTGAGGCCTCCAGTGACAGTGGTATGTCCCTATTTCCCTACCTGTAACATTTTATGCCTTTCTTTTCAGTGTTCTTTCTCCTGAATTCTCTTGGAGCTCTTAACTATCCCTATTCAACAACTCTACCTCTTTAATTTTCCCTTCCATTATTTTGCCCAGATTTTCTCACAGCATTTGGTCACAACCTAGCAATTCTCCCAGAGGAGGCAAGGTTATGCCGGTAGGCCACATTGGATCAGATCCTTGGCACAGACAGCTGAACCCCTGGGGGCTGACAGAGGAGATGACCAAGAGAGGTTGAAAGACACACTAGATAGGAGATTACAAGGTGAAGTAATCTGTTTGGATCCAAGCCCAGATGGTGCCAAGTGAGTACATGTTGCAGGGATGATGGGAATGGTATGGCTGCTTTCAGTAGTGTATCATCCGTTTAGAAAATAATCTGAAATTCCAAGAAATTAATAAATGTCTTTATGATTACATAAAAGTCTTCATGAATATGTAAAAGTCAGATGGTGCCTGATACACACTGACCTCTGATACCTCCCTTATTCAGTCGTGGCAATGTGTTAATATGTCCCCAATAATACATGCGCAACTGGGATATAATAGGGGCTTTACTGGTTTCCAGCAGGCAGTGAGCAGGGCTACAACACAATCACTGACTCACTTTTATCTGAAACGAACAACCCTTCTCTCTCCTCCCTGCAAACAATAAGATTGTTAGATCCAAGGCCGAATTCATGTTGTTGTGAACAGCTGCAAATCCACTGACGTCAGCGGAGCTATAACCACTTAGTAAAATGAGAGTCCAGCTTGTGGTGATGTTTTGGATGAATTTCAGTGGAACAATTACATTCTATCTTTCTACAATTCTCTGGACTTTTCCTTTAGATGGATATGTTTTAACCTGTCCTATGTAGCACTGAAGTGCGCTGCCAAACAGCTGCTTGTGCCATGTAAGTGATTCTTGCAACTCTCTATGAAGCAGGTTAAAGTCTGGCTGGATGAACTAGCTATATTGTGGAAGTGTATGAGATTGTAAGAGGAAAAATAAAGCTTTTTATCTCAAGGGCCCAATAAACACGATATCCCACAATGCAGGAGCTATGGAGCATAGGAGAGAGGTGCAGGCCCTACATGGGCAGCAAGAAGCATGACTATAATATTCAAGGGCTGCTAAAATAGTCTTAATCTTACAAGTTGCAGTCTGCTATGGCTTGATCTTGCAAAGTGTCTAAAAACATTAGTCCACTGACCTCCAGTTACACAGATCTAGAGTGAAGCAGAGAACCAGCACTGCAGAAATTCGAGCTTAAGAGCAGTCACTGCTGATTGCAAGGACTTATTTTTTTCTGTTTTCCTGAGAAGAAGGGAAACTCCACATGGGGGTGGAGAAAGTGCTGGGAGGGCATAATGATCTCCAGTGGCTTCAACACCCGGTTCCAGACCAACACTACTGTGCCTGAATCATGGTGGAGCAAGTTGTTTGGCCTTTGGTACAAGAAATTTCCAATAGACTATGTCTGCATTAGATTAGATTGTGCTGATCCTGTTCCCTAATCAGGTCAGCTGCATGGGAGTTGAACTCCAGTTCTTCCCATTGAAGTTGCATCTGTCTCAGGAGTTGGTATTCTCTGTGTTGGAATGGAAGACAAGTAAACAGGAGCTTTCAGGGGGAAAAATATGTTTTCTTTTAATTTTCTCAAAATTATTTTCTGTATGGACATTTGTTAAAGTAAGGAATTCTGATAGTGTAAAAATGTTCACAGTTCCAATCTTCATTAAAGTTATACAGTTAAGTATTTACAGATTACTAAGGTGGACTTTCTGAGGCTGACATGAGCCTAATACAACATCAGCAGTCAGGGTCTATTGAAAATGTTCTTTGTGCAGAGTCACCTTTAGGCTGACCTTTGATCCAAGCAGTGTGAATGACAGTGGTTTGGGATGCTTACAACAGGTAACTGAAAAAAAATGAGGGCATGCAATAAAATTATTAGCACTGAGATGAAACAATGTAATGGAAGATACATGTCTAATCACTGAGGGAAAATGCTTTATGTACAGGATGGATTCTGAGTGTCCCATCTTCATCTTACTTAGCCTGAGGCTGTGGGAAGAGCAAACAAAGAACGTGTAATTGTTCCCACACAAGAACAGACAAGCCTACATTGAAAAGATAATGAGTGAAACTAGCAGGATTCAGGGACGTTACATGCAGTCTCCAAGGAGAAACAAAGTTCAGTCTGAGACCTTGAATATCAAAAGAAGTTAAAAGACTTATAAATCCTTGGAGAAGACAGAGAAGGGGAAGATCACTTTTTAGAAGTTCCCTCTGGAGACAAATTGAAGGTAAGAGATTGTGAAGAGAATTTAAATATGTCTGGCTGTTTAGAGGTGTTAGTTGTTTAGATTAAATAAGTATGTTTTAAACAAAATGAGTCACTTAGAGTTGTAATATTGTGTGATTTAGCATGCTGTTTGCTTAGCTTTACTTGCTTAGCATGAGTAACTGGGTTTGCTGAAGCCTTAGGCCACAAGCTGTGGACTTTCACTGACATCTATGCTTTTGGCTGGAATAGAACTTGTTTTCTTGCTAATTTTCCTAGCAGCTAGCACAGTGCTGTGTTTTGGATTCAGTAGGAGATCAATGTTTATAACACACTGATGTTTTAGTTGTTGCTGAATAACATTTTGACTAAGTGTAGGCCTTTTTTAGTTTCCCGTGTTCTGTCTAGGAGTAGGCACAAGAGAAGCACAAACCAGAAGATAGAGAGGCGGTCGGCAGCAGAAGATGCAACTCCACCAGATAAGAACAGTTAACGGCCAGCCTCTGTGGAGAAGAAAAAAGAATCCCACAAGGTGTTAGAAGACCCCAGACCACAAGTCACCACTGGACTAAAAAGGCACATGCAGAGCATGTAAGGCATGGGTGTATAAATCGTAAGGAGGTAGTTGTCCAGGGATTTCTTTTTTTGCAGCAGCTCTCTGGAGGCACCCAGCTCAAGCTGACTCCACTGCTGTAACACTGTATTAAATTATTTGTTTTTATAAAATCCAACACCTGAGACTCTGCTGTGGGAAACTGAGAGTTGAGCCTGGAGGAGGAGGGAATGCACCTGAGAATGAGTGTGTGTTAGCTAGGAGCCGAAAGGAGCATCCATTTGCTCACTGGAGCTGCCCACTGCAAAGGAGCTCTGGTCCTAGCAGTTGAGGTCTTGGGTGGTGTGTGTGCAACTCCTTGAATGGCGTGAGAATGCTCAGGCAGTGTCTTCTCCCTTAGCACAGCCTTCATGGGCCAGGAGAACAGCAAACCTAACAGTTGTACATGTGGACAGTTTCATGGTTTAAAGATCTTTATCTTTCATATGCAAATAACAGATAACATGATTTAAACTTGCTGTTCTTCACACCTGTCATTAACAGCAGAGAAAACAGATGTACAGTTATATGTGAAGGACTAGGGGAGCCATAACTAGTAGTCTGGAAAGTGCAGACAGGGCCCCAGCAGAAAACAGAAGCATTATGATATGTCATCACACACACAAAAAAGATGATAGCTAGAGCCTTGGGATGTGGGAAGAAACTTGTTCAGACTATGGTCAGAGTTATAGCAATGCTAATAAGCAACTTTCCCCCTTTAAAAAAAAAAAAAAAAGAGAGAGAGGACTATGTTCTTCCCTTCATGTCTTTTTCCTACTCCAGATCTGTGATTTTGCCTTTTTCTGTCTCCTCCTCTTTGATATGTATAATCCTCATAAGGGTAGTATTTGATGAATGGGGGTGTTAGATAGTTGCATGTACTAGTAGTTCTTGTAACTATTACTCCAGCTATGTGGATGATGTCCTTCAAAGAAAAGGCAATAGTGTTTCCCAGAAGTGTGACTTATCTTCATTGTTGGCTAAGCCTTTTGTAAAATCCTTTTGAAGCATCTTCTTTTCTTTTTAATAGAGGTGTGGTGGTTTTCTTTCAGCTTGTGACTAGTACCTTTCAGAACGTTCATTGACAGCACGTTCCCAGCCTGCCAACCCTAATACCTTGGGCAGTAGATGGCTGCTTTTAGCAGCAGTCATCTGCTGCCAAGTTTCTAGACAACTTGAAATCCAGGGCAGGCATGGTCTGGAAGTTTGACAAAGGGCACATCAGGATTCCTACCCATTTGTAGACTAAGCAGATGCTCAGCATGTGTCATATGCAATTCTCTTCCTTGTTGGACCCCTGGCTGCAGACATTGCTTCTTCCCAGTTTGTCCTGCATCATCTCACACTGCTGTCAGTATCTAGATCTAATTTTGCAGTTTGAAGCCTTTGGTGTCTCTCTATCTGTTGCCAAGTTTAAGATACAGGGCCTTGTTGTCAAAGCCCCCTGTGACACCCTCTCTAGGCTCTATTTCCTCTCCTCTTGTTTTCCATCACATTTCTCTCACAACTGATGCCAACTGAAATGATTCCTTCATGTTATTCTTCTGTTCATCAACTCTCATCATTATTACAGTGAATTTCCTTCACGTGGAAAAAATTTCCTGACTTTGTATATTGTGGTTTTTCTGAAAAATTCATTCATTTCAGACCACTTGCTCATCTGCAGGCACCTGTTACTGTTTCTCTTCCTGCATGAGAAGGAAAGGGGAACTCCAGGAGGCAAAAAAAAAAATCTTTTGTTAATTAAAGCCCTTTCTTTTTTTTTATTATTTTTTTTCCCATGAATCTGGGTTTGTAGCAGAAGTTTATTTGACCAGGACTGGTTTTGTTTGCTTTGATTTCCTGGCAAAATCTGGTCTGGAGTGCACACTTCTCTCCTGGGAAATTCCTCTATAAACTTACTCAGAAGCAACAGCCAGAATCCACATGTACCCTCTCCATCCCAGACACAGACTGAGCCTGCAGATGCCACCAGTAGCACACAGAATTTGTCCTACATAATTATTCTCTGCTTCTCTCCATTGAAAAGGAACAGAATAGAGTGAACAAGAGGACCATAGGGTAACTTGGCATATGCTGTCCCTCATCCAGGTGGAGGACCTCCACAGGCTAGGAGGAGGCTGCCAAGGTGCAGCCATAGTCCAACAGTGATGAATGGGCTTAAAGGAAAACAAGCGTACTTCCCTGAAAATTTTTATTTTGACAAAGCATCTTGAATGGTTGGTGACTCCAGTTTCAGTTAAACAAATTGCAGAAATTCATTTCCAACAAAAGAAATTAGATGTGATGCTTCAGAAAACATACTCATTCTCAGTTCTCAGCTATTGTGAAGATCTATTTGCATTTGCAAATATGAAGTGAAAATGTAGCATGAATATACACTATTTTTCCATACCAACATATACTATTTTTATTGTGGAGAAAATTAAAAACCTCACATGTAAAGTGTTGCATATTTTTTTTTCTAATTCATACTGTTTTGCATAGCTGATTCCTAACATTTCCTTTGTTTTAACAAAGCTGTGTTTCAGATTAGCATATCTTGGGAGTGCCACAGTAACATGTATTATTGTACAGTTAATGCTTATTGATTCTTTCAATAGATATTTAACAGGTTTCTTCTCTTTTCATGTAATAATTTAAAATTATCTGGCAGGGCCATTTTTATTTACACATACCAGATGAGGTTTGAAGGATTTCCTCTAATCTTTTTTTATCTTGTGTCTCTTGAGGGAGCTGCGATTTACAGTATCTGGAACACCGACATTGTCGTATTGCTTTCCACACATTTCAATACCGTAGTAGTTCTCAGTGTGTGAAACTGCACTAACCCTGCTGATGTTAGAAGCTTGAATACTTTGTAGAGAGAAATAGATGTTCAACCCTATCCCCTCCAGTAGATGTCATCGTGACAATGGAGAATACTGTTGGGGATACTGGTGTGAAATCTCCTTTGCCGAGGCAGGAAACAAGCTTTGCTGTAATAGACTTTGTCAAAACAAGGTAATTCTCTCAATGCTTAGTATTTATGGAGAACTTTTTCTTTCTATAATGCTTTGAAAAACATGGTGACTGATAAAACACAGTCACCAGTCAGGTCACACAGGGCTGCAGTTTGTGGCAGTGATATCTATGTGCTCTGAAGGTGGACATAAATATATGGACAGATGCACATGTGCAATACTCAGTTTGTCAACTGCTTTTTCCCCCCCCAACTATATAGTTTCTTTTGTATGACACACCTTGCTCAAAACTATTACATCTTTTCATTTATATTTCCCCCTCTCCACCCTAATCCTCTTTAGAAATAATTTCTCCAAAGGAAAACCCAAATCCTTAAAAGGAAAACCCAAATCTTCCTGCTTTATTTTTGCTAAGAATTAATCTCTCCACACGTGTCAGCACCTGAGCTGCTTGGCATCCAGTCAGTTTTAAGGTTCACAGCTGCCTGCGTGAGCGATGGTTATTGAGCGGTGAGTAATCCACAACCTTGTACTATTACTAGGTATAATTTTAATCCCTCAAACGGAGATCAAATCCCCAGAAAAGTCGAGAGACAAGTCAGTCACTGGCAGTTTTACATGCACCAGGGCTGCAACACACACATCTACAAATAATTTGAAAAGCACATTGAAAATATGTTTAGCTATTGTTTGATAGCTGATCTGAGTTTCTCAGAAAGATTGTGAAGTTCATGACTAGAAAAAAATATCAGACACCTTTCCCCACCTTGGAAGTCCCAACAGCTTTGATTGAATATGTGATATGTATCTAGTATATGTTGTCCCTTTTTAATTTTAGCCAGTGCTATGTCTGTGTTCTTCATGACAGACTGACAGTATGTAAGATTTTGTCAGATAAAATATAGCACAAGCTGAACTGCATGAAGCAAGCTGCTGAGCTGAAATGTGACTTTCTAAAAATCAACAGGGTGCAGCTATATAAAATAATAAGTACATAATCTGAATGTTCTCTTTTGTCTAGATAATAGCCCTATGAATAATAAGTTTTTATTCTTTAAAATGGCAGGCTTTGGGGAAGCAGACAGCAAGAAAGCAGAGCACTAATGGCCTGATTAACTTAAGAGTCTGCTTCTCCTCCTTAGTCCAGTCTTTGAAAGTGAAGCAGGTCTCTGCAACCAACATTATGAATTCTAGGGGAAATGACCAAACAATTAGAACAAATTTGTGACCTCTCACAGTAAGAGGAAAGCAAGTCTTATTGGCAGGATTTTTGTCATTGTTCACATTCATAAAAAAAAATTGTTGGCTGGAATTTTGTCCTTGACCAAGTGGAAAGCCTTTCTGCTGGCAGGAAAACAACATATTTGATCAAAACAAAGCTGCTGATGCTCTTGACAGAACAAGAACAGACATCTGTCTGGCTGCTCTGAGTAAGCAAAAATACCAGAAAAACTCCATAAAATTCTATTAAAATAAATGGGGTAATGAAAGGGGTGCAAAGAAAGCATTTCTTTGTAAGTTATCTCCTTTGGGCACTGCCAGAGAACCTGGGAAAAAAAGCATGTCTTTAATAATCAGGATAGGACAAGCGTAATGTTTTTACAGTAAAAGAGGGTAGATTGAGACTAGATATAAGGAAGAAATTTTTATGACGAGAGTGGTGAAAGACTGGAACAGGTTGCCCGGAGAGGTGGTGGATGCCCCATCCCAAGAAACATTCAAGGTCAGGCTGGACTGGGCTCTGAGCAACCTGATCTAGTTGAAGGTGTCCCTGCTCACTGCAGAGAGGTTGGACAAGGTGATCTTTAAAGGTCCCTTCCAGCCCAAGCTATTCTATAATTCTACGACTTCCTACTTTCTGTCCCCCTTGCAGCTTAGCCTTGCAATTTGTTGCCCTTTCGGCTTTAAAATAAACATTATCCTCTCTCAGGATTATGAAACTTAGTAATGTAGCTGAAGCCTTAGCTTTTCCTGGGGAAATTGTTTGAAATGTGGAGTCTTCAAATCAGTGCTGGTTCTGTACCCTGGAATAGTTA